AAACTATAATATGGAAAAAAAAAGTATCTAAAGGAACATTGTTTAAACCTTTTACTCAAACACTACTTTATGAGGCTCATAAGTAGTTTTTTTTTTTATCATTGCATTTGTTCATACTAAGGTTCAGGTGGTATGAATTCTCTCAGTAACCTTTTTATTTGCCCAAATCACGTACTTATTCTTGTTGAGAATTGCTTTATTACATGAAACAGCGTATCATACAAAAAGAGACTTAGATGTTGTTAAACATCTTTTAGAAATGAGGTTTCATTAATTACTACACTTTTTCTTTACTTATAAACTGTATCTATATTTGCCTTATTAACTTTTCTATGTTCTTTCACCTGTTTTTCTTGACCTTGTCTCTTTCTTCAAAATCCATAAATGAAATTAAAAGTAGTTTAGAGTCGAGGATTTGAGATCTTTCAAGGTAAGCATTAATCCTCATAAACTTTCACTTTTTTTTGTTAATCATGAAGAAAAATACAACTCATTAACTTATTTCCCTCTCACCTACTTGAAGTCTTTTTGGCAATATATATATATATATATATTAGTCATACCTACATAGCATATTACTTGGTTCAGGTTGAATTTGCACATATACTTGTCTCTAGAGAACGACCTATTCTACTCGAGTCAAAGTTATACCCTAGTTAAATATACCTCGAAATAAACAGCAGAATTTTTGTATTAAAACAAACACACATAGTAATACATATTTTAATTCCTTAGATTCTACAATGTCACGTATTGCAATACTATGTGTTTTGCTTCTCCTTTTGTTTTTCTGTCATGGTGATGCTTTACGCATTCCGCCAGACTCTGATTATTCTACAATTGAGGGAGATGACGAAACATTTTATAGGGTTGCAAACCTTTCTCCTATCGGTCGTGATCCACCTCTTGCTTCCATAGGGCAGCACTTCATCACTCTCCAGGAATGGCTGTACCTCCCAGAGTCTCATGAAATGTCGAAAACGCTGCGGCACTCAGAACTTACTAAAGGTAAGGGCCCTGACGCAGGTCATGAAAAGAATTCATATTTTTCACGTATTTTCAGTTTTGGAATTCGTCAAGGCAAGTCGCCAGTTCTGTCTGAAATCGATTCTCACGGCCGATATGTTGTGGTCGCACGCCATGAATTTAATTCTTTACAAAAAACAAACAAAGAGCAAGTAAAAAGTAGCGATACTTTGGGTCGAAGGGTGCCTTTTTCAAGCTCGAAATATCCACATGTTGTAGATCCACTTTCAGTTCTGAAGCGTAGCGAGCTTGAGGTACATGTCATCGACTCGAGCCACATTTTAGTATATTTACCCACTGGGGATGAAAGCGATATCGCTGCCGCGTTGACATCCCAATCTATAACGCTTAGTGATTCTTTAGGAGAGTGGAAGCTAATTGACGTATACGGCGGGAAGGGCAATGCAAAGCCAAGACTTGAATTGGTCCTATTTAAGATTGCCAGACCTTTAAAGGAGCTTTTGACTGCCGCACAAGCCTGCAATAGAAAAAGATGCGACGTCTTTGTTGCACATGCGAAAAAAATTTCAACACAGACTCACTCTCTGCTTTCATCTTCTCTTCCTTTTGAATCTATGCAAGAACTACGGATTATCGTTTCAACTGCTCGTGGGCAGTCCCGACAGGTGGCCAAAGATCTTGCTCGCATTGGTGTAATTCAAGATGTCGAATACGGGGGAAATAGGACTGACGTGTTTGGAGTAGAGGTTCTTCCCCCTCGTGGGGCTCTAAATAGTAACTCATGTAAGTTTTTTGTTGCCGAACCAACAGGTCTTCCCAACGATGCGACCGGAATTGTACGAGTGAATCTCGTGTTTCCTCTGCCAGATGTGCAAACCTATAATGCTTCCCCAAACACTAGATCCGATGTGCTGAGGTCTGCGTGTTCTTGTGTGCTTGATATTTTTAAAATCGCTTTTCATCCTTCTGTGCGCTGGCTTGAGGCAAGTCCGACGCGTGTGGAACTTCATAATTTCAAAGGCTCTGCTATTGTTCAAAGCGGCTACACTGATGATAAGAACTTTGGTCTAGCGACGCCACTGCGAGATGCAGGACTGAATGGTACGGGTGAAATAGTTGCTATCGCTGATTCCGGTGTGGACGTCCAGAGTTGCTATTTTCGAGACCCAAAACTTGATGTCGCGCACTACCCCGACGTGAATTCCAATCACCGAAAAATTATTTCGTATCATGGATGTTTCAACAGCAATACGAACGATATGGATTACACAGATTCTCTACAAGGGCACGGCACCCACGTCACAGGCAGTGCCCTTGGTTCCCTGATCTTCGACTCTGATAATTCTCAAGAACATTCGGAGGATCAGATTAATTTATTGCGGCACAACGGATTAGCACCAGGTGCTAAACTTTTTTTTCGTGATTTAGGTTGCCAGAGCCCAACTCTTCTGACAATACCCGATAATGTTTCGGAAATTTTTGATTCTGGGTATGAAAACGGTGCTCGCATCTTCTCCAATTCCTGGGGATATTATGGTATGAGGGAGTATACCTCTTTGGAAAAGCAGATCGATGACTATGCCTATAGACATGATGATTTGCTATTATTGTTCGCAGCTGGAAACAGTGTTCGTGATGGGATCTCGATGCCTGGGACTTCTAAAAACGTTCTCTCAGTCGGCGGTCACGATAATTCTTTCAACGCTCTGGAGCAAAATCGAATCCCTTTTTACTCTCGTGGCCCGACGTACGACAATCGGATGAAGCCCGATATTGTTGCCCCAGGGGGGATTGGGGTGGTATCAGCCAAAGCAAACGCCAAGTGCGCGACTTCCATCAAGGCAGGATCTTCCATGGCGACTGGATTCACGGCGGGCGCGGCGGCTCTTGTGCGGGAGTATCTGCGCACACGGCTCGCCAATAACGCGCCTTCTGGCTCCCTAATGAAGGCTCTGATGATTCACAGCACGGTTCCCTTGAACCTAAAAGATGAAAGCGGGTATGGACGTCTGGATCTCTCCATCGCGTTTGGCAATATTTATCGTTTGACGAAGAGAGCGAATACCAAGGTTGTAGAGGTACAGCCAGAGTTATGGATGGTTGAACGAAAGGCGATCTCGAACGGGGATACAGACATGTACTGTTTCTCCGCTGCGGATCCCATTACAATCAAAAATGTGTTCAACTCCGCTGATGCAACTGCTGCTGATCTAGAGCCTAAAACAATGGGGCTTAAGGCTACCTTGGTGTGGACAGACATCCCGATCGCACTTGAGGGCTCGGCGCGAACTTTGGTGCATAATCTTGATCTTGTTATTATTGACTACACAGGTGCAATTCATTATTCAAATACCAAAAAACCCAAAGTTCGTTTTTTAGATCGCACTAATAATGCGGAGCAGGTGCAGATCGAGCTGACAGAAGAGCTTAGTACGAGCTTTCGCATATTAGTCTACGGTGAAGAAATTCGGGCTAGCCCATCCCAAACGTACTCCCTCGTGGTCTCCGCTCCCGGTTTAAAGGAAAAAACAGACTGCTTCGCCGAGTTTAAGCGTTTGGAGGAGCGCAGCACGCATGTGCAATGCCCTGGCAATTGTAGCTACCGCATTGGTGCCCAATGTCTTTCCGACAGCCGGATGTGTGAGTGTCCGAAAAACATCACCTACTACGACTGCTCTCTCTGTGATGCGAGAGCCCACTGTAATGACAACGGTGTCTGCAATGACAATACGATGACTTGTATTTGCTTCCCTGGTATGCATTTTTCCGATCCCTACTGCAGTATTTGTTCTGAAGGGTGGTATGGACCGAGGTGTGATTTTGATTGTTCTTGCATGAACAACGGCATATGCGATAAGTCCTTAGGGCTCTGCAAGTGCTCACAAAATCATATATATGGCGTCGATGGTTGTTTCGAGGGACGAAGCTGCGAGTATTGCTGCCGCAATTTTGCTGGTAAACATTGCAATGAGCGAAGTTACTGGTGCGATGCGAATGGTGGCTTAGTAGAGGCAAATGATCCAGGAGGGGGGTACATTCAGATCAATGGATTCAATAAATATACTTACATTTCAACGTGTCATTGGCGCATCGTAGCACCTCCGGAGCGTCGGATTTTGATTGAATACATAGAGTTTAATGTCAGCAACGGATCCGAGCTGCGTATATACGATCTAAAGTCCAAATATGGCTTAGAAACCCCTCTGCGCAAAGATATTGGGCAGCTAAATGAAAAGGTCAAAGTAAAATCAATAGGAAGTACCTTGATTCTCGACTTTGTTTCTGATTGGTCTCCATATCAAGGCGGGTTTCTTCTTTATTATAGATTTTTCCCTCAGATCGAATGTCAGATCAGCTGCAAGGCCCCATTTGATCTTCACCAGGGCGTTTCACCGGTTCTGATGTGCGGCCAAATTTTAGGACTTCCAGAATGGTGTATTTGCACACCTCTTCAAGTAGGATTGAACTGCAACGCTAGTAGAGGCAGCTTTGACTTTTTAGGAAATAATAGCGAGGCCATAAGACGACACTTGCGTCCTCAATTCAGTTTCATTAGTTCTAAAGCGCATCTGGTACTGGATGCGTTGCCCTCCGAAGAGGTACTACATGGTATGTCGAACGTGGGGTCTGGCCAAAATTCAGAAAAAGGTGAAATGTTAAATAAAAAAATAAAGCCTGCCTCAAATTCTTGGTGGACTTCTCAGACGATCTCAACGGAAGGCATCGCTCGCATGCCATTAGTTGCAAACGGCTATTCACTATTGCGTGTGTATGCACCTATTGAATCGAGCTTCTCATTTCTGGAAGAAAAGAATAGGAAAGGAGTCAAATGGTTTGTGAATCTTACGTTTATTCCTATCAACGGGACGTGGGCACATCAAATACAGGGCCTTAAGCTGGGTGTCTCACTAGTCGATCATTTGGATAATGATTTCTTCTTCAACGACTTTTCTATAATACAGCTTCTAGATCTCTACACATGCCGAGACAAACCTGTGTTATCCATGCTAGTCCCGCTAAATGTGAAAACATTGGGGGCCAACGAGGATGGAGAATCATGGGCCACCGTGGAGTTGTTTGTTACACTATTATGGAATGCCAGTGAACCGGCTCCGTCACAATTTCAAAAGTATCTAACTATGGATACGGTAGTCTTCGCGAGCGCGCAGCGATACAACACTTCATCGATGAAGATCAATTCCTCTAAATTTGGTTATATTAATGAGCCTAATGTACGCGTTGGCCACAACCAAACTCAGTTAATGAATGAAGTGGATTTACATCTTACTTGCAAACCCCGACAAAGCTTTAACGTGGGAGCAGGACGCCTGCTGAAACTATCTCGCATGAAAATGGTGAATGAGCCTATATATAAACACCATTGTTATTTAACGACGATGCAGTATGTCTTGATTATCGTTTTTTGTTTTGTTTGTGCGACAGGAATCACTATTTACCAAAAAAAAATGAAGACATGGTTCGAACGCCTAGAGTTGAGTTTTGTATTATAGGTAATACACCCGAAAATATCACACCAGATCAGGTAAACGAGGTATTCGTGGCATCAACAGCTCAGAATAAGAATTTGACTTCCAACAGCACAGTGAGGGTATCACTACTAACATCAAAAAATAATCCTGACGAGAGTTCCTAAGGTGCATAGGTATCGATATTTCACCGCATGTATACCCACTGTTGTCGATTTTTTTTCGTGGCATTGCTACTTACTAAAATTTCAAAGGAGATGCTGATGACATTCCACGGTTGTTTGGTCAATATTTGAGTAGTCAGTGCGTCGTATACAGGGAATGTATATAGATAAAATACACTGCATAGTTTGAGGGTTAAAAATATTTTTCTGAAGTATTGCTGTTGTTTAAAGATACTATTTAGTTTTTCATAAGGACTATCTTCATGTTATACTTTATATGGGATTGTCTTATCCGCCTTATAACAATTTTGGAAAATTTCTTTTCAATTGATGTCACTTTTGTTATTTATTCACTATTTTCTAAACCAAAAAATCCATTATTAGTATGTATATATATATATACATATACATATATATACATATATATACATATACTTATATATATGTATGTATACATGTGTATATCTATCTATATATTATTATTAATTTTCATCTGTATATTTGTCTCCCTTTCAAAGGCTTGATTTCTTTAGATGGATGATTCCTCAGCTTCTGATTCTTTAACTGACGAGTGCTGGATTTGTCGTGATACGAGTTCGACGCCGGATAATCCCATCATAAGTAGGGTCTGTCGGTGCATTGGCACCATTGGTTCAGTGCATCAGAATTGTATTGATCGCTGGGTTTTCCAAAATGAACGTATGGAGTGTCCAAGCTGTGGGGCTACTTATTCCATAGTGTATATCTGCTCTCAAGTGTTAACATACCCCGAAAGCGTTTTCTCAGAGGTGAAGCTAGTGGTCACTGGATTATTTATTCCAATTATGGCAAAACTAATCATCCTTATTTTGGGGGTTCTACTGAGTTTTGTTTTGCTACCACTTATTATAGGCTTCATCTACTATGGGGAAAGGTCATGGCTCCAACGTTCATCGACCGTAACCTGGGTCCAGTTTCTTGAAGTGTATACATACGGAGTGACCAATATATTTCTGATACGTTTAGCTATATTTGGTTTTAACTATTGGATTTGTCACCCTCGTCGTCATCAACGTCGACAGCGGCAAGAGGATCCTTTGATGGATCGCCGTGTGTATGTCCAAGGCCCTGTTGTTGAGGGAAATGACAACAATCCCCACCCCCAAGACGACGGTCTTGAAACATCTGATGAAGATTCGGAGAATTCCGATTCAGAACACGAACACAGAGATGATGATGCATTTTGTGACTTCTCAAAAACCGGTTTTGCGGCTTCAGCTCATGACTGGATCGATTCAATGAAAAAACAATTCGGTATTGATGACCGTTTTTTCCGCTCTTTAGCCCGTGATCTTTGTGTGGCGTGCCCTTTAGCACTTATCTTTCGTACCCCTCAGGGGTTAGCCGTTACATTCACCATATTCGTGGCCACGTGGGTTTTATGGCAAATATGGATTCCGAAAAGAGAAATACAAAATCCTCGACGCCGCTATGAAGAAGTTATAGAGCGCTTAGGGGATTTAACCTCGACAGAGGTAATGTTTCTATACATGACCTACGTTCTTGAGACGTTACTTTTCTCATTTATCCTTCCAATAATAGCTGGCGTTGTTGTCCACTACGGGACCGCACCTTTCCTAGTAAAGACACCGGATTCGCTTTCCTCTTTTATGACGGCGCTGAACATTTATAAGATTGTTGGATACTGGGTCATAGGGATGTTGTGTTCATTAGTTCTTATGGCGACGATGTACAATGTTATTTTACCCCTTTTTGCGCCCGGTGTGGAACTCTTTTATATCCGTAGTGTAGACTTCCGGTCGTTGGATACCCATACCTTGCGACTTAATCTTATGTTTACTCGTGTCTTTGATGTTGGACCATCCCAATTAGTTCTTGATTTTTTTGGAATCCTTATTTTTGAGATGGGGGCGTTGCTCTTTTTCATTGCCATGCCGTGTTGGGTTACATTTGGTATTCGTGAAGCTCTCTTTAGTGATTTATCGAGCGGGCGCCTATCGATACCACTGTCTTTTGGTCTTCCGTCACGCAGTGACCTGTCTTTGAGGAGCAAATTTGCTGATGTGCAGCAGTTGCTTAAGACGAGTCAGACCCTTCATTCACATGATTTCTCAACACATTCAGATTTAGAAAAGAGGTCGAAATTGCATGCGGAAACTGTCGTCCTGACTCACTTAGCTAAAGCTATTGCCTCAGACCCCCAGGCGGTCTTGAAGGCTATGCGCTCGTTGTCGCTAGACGACACTAAGCCTTTTTACAGATCCACAGCACTTGCGTTGACGGTTGCAGCTTTATACAACGACACCACCATACTTAGTAGGTTACTGCACTTAGAGCACCAAAATTGGAGTGTAGTCGACACTAGCTGGGTCTTGATGCGAGTTTTAGCGTCGTCTGGATACGTATGCCCCATGTGCTTCCTTAGCGTTGGTAATCAACTAAGTTTCTTCGAGACATCAAGCTCCGATCCATTGATATCACCCTCAAACAGACGGTCTGTTGAAAGGATGAAGCCTGAGAATAGAGATGGAGCACTCATGGATTTACCACAGAAAAAGGGCAATGCCACGGGTGATTTCCTTTCCTCAAGGGATTTGTTCACTGTCCTTGGTCCTGTCATTCTGAAATGGAATGCACAGTGGGCAATCCCTATTCATGGGACATTTGCAAATAATCAAACAAATGGCGTTATCCATTCTCTCTTTGATGTTTGTAACATCGTGCATGAACCTCAAAGACACATCCCCACCTCGGGGTCCCAGCCTGAGGCTGCGCGATGGTCTCCGGAGCAAGTGTTCAACTGGAATGACAGCTCCTTAGTTTGTCTGGTCTTGGTATTGACTACTTGTCTATGCAGAATACCTGGTTTCGGTTCGACTAGCAGGCTTATTTTGAATTTTTTTTTGTATAAAGGCAATTGTATTTTCTTTCTACAAACTATTGGTCTCATCAGCATGACACTCATTTTTTTCATGTGCTTGATCCAGTTTCCCATTAAAAAAATGCAGCTAAGGTATCTTCGACCTTTTGCGTTTTTTTTTGGACGAGCGATGGGGCTGGAGGCATTTCTGTTTGACGCAGAGCGACTAAAATTAGTTGATCAGTACCTGGGAAATATTAATCGTGAACACTTGGAGGTTCCAATAGTGCCACCTGAAGCGATTCTTTTGCGTCGAGAGCTTGTTCTACCGAGACAAAATATTCCTCCGTATTTTAAGCTGCGACTTTTCGTATTTGCCATGTCTTTTTTGTTGATTGGCACATTACTCTTCTGGTTGCCTTTTATTATCATTTTTATCTTTATGTTGTGCGTACCATTGCCCACTGTTACGATGCTGTTGGGAACCGGTTGTATCTTTTTCTTTCTTTTTGACCCCTCAGAATTCTTAGAGTGTGTAATGCTGGCACATGGTTTGATTTTGGTGCTATTAGGATTCATACTCTTTTCTTTTTATTGGACTCTTAGCAAGTTGTCCTTAAAGAAGCTTGCTCAAGAGACATTTTTTTACATTTGTAAAGTAAAACGGCATGTGAGCGCGTATGATCTGGAGAGAGAAAGCTTTAGTGGAGAGGATCGTATGCGTCAAAAAATGCTTTTCATTGTAGAAAAGACGTCGCGTACGGAGCAACGTCCCATTCTTATCCCTGTTCCTGATGATGATAATGAGGACGGGAACGTTCCAGCATGATGAAAAGGAAATAGCATGTCTATTTTCACTCTCTATGTTTTTACATGGTAGGTCTATGATTATTGAAGTTTAACTGCACACGATAAAATTATTAAAAGTAAATTTGATCATTGATAGAAAACTTATTGATTGGTAGAAGGATGCTTTTACTATTCTACTCCTCACCACCCATCTTCCTGTGAGTCACAATATTAGTTCATGTTTTTTTTTACTTTGAGGAAATACGAATATTGCGTCGGGATAAAGATTAACAAATGAGCATATTTTTTTTCTCCATGTTCCTGTTTCTGAATATTACAACGAATGGAACTGGTGATGATTTTTCGTTACCTTTCCCACTATTCTGCGTTAAAGGGGTTTATCGGTTTGTTAATCTCCATTTATACATTTGTATTTGATGGTAATGGCACAATTCTTGGTTTGCTATTTTGTACTATGCTCAAGACAGTGAGCATTGTTACTCTCTTCCATGAATCATTATATATATATATATACTTTTTAAAATTCACTTATCCCCTTCACCCTTTTCTATAAAAATACTCTTGTTTATAGCAGTCTTTAAATTTATAGTGCTAGCATATTATCTATACATCTATACATGGATGCGAATGTAGAATGGAATACATAAATAAACCCTCATATTATTTTCATATTACTCCTTTCAATGCTAAGCAATTAATAAGTCTTTGTGTCTTACAGATAATCTTCACAAAAAAAGAGACCTCTTCGTATCGCGTACGTGCGCTGGGTTTGCGTTTAACAAAAGACGCACCGCCTCCCTCGAATAGTCTATTGCGACGATGGTTTTGTCCGTATCATAAATGGCGTCTCGATAGTATGAGCAAGTCGATGGCACATCAGACCCGAGGTCTTAGTTCTATTCAAACAGAATGCTTTCTGAGTGAGCTTTTGGGAGGTAATAACGAGAATGAAGCGGAGGATGATATTGAAGACTGGAAGGTAGGCGAAACCGTATGCAATGAAACTGTGGAGCTTATGTCTTCCGATTTTGACGAAAGTAAGTCGACTGCTACTTTAACGAATATGGGCTGGACCGCATCGGACACTACTAGCCCGATCTTTGCCATTGCTTCTGTGGAAACAGTCCATACCTTGGATCCGTTTGCAAGGGCCAAAATATTGAATTTTATTCAGCGAATGCTTTCCCTTCCTTCTTCCTCCTCTTCAAATACCAGGGATACAGACGTAGTGAGGAATGGTTCTCATGAAGCTTTGGATAAATCTGTATACGTGCCAGAGGTACGAGAGGTGCAGGGTAACCCTGGTTTTGGAAAACAATATCATGCCACTTTGAGGTTGCCTCTGCCATCAGAGTATGGCCTGCGCTATGGTGAAGGTTTTGCAAGCACTGAGAGGGATGCGGAGCTAGTGGCAGCAATGCATGCTGAGCGTGTTCTTGACAAACTGGGGTTTCACATATACCAGCTTTCTTCCAAGCAATCTCGACATGCCGAGGCCGCACGAAAAGCAGGACGTTGGGCCCCTATGCCTGATGAAGGGGAAAGAGGTCTATCCCGGCCCCCACCAACCACGTCTTCCCCACCTTCTCTTCAATACGTCATGGAAAACACAACAATGAGTGTGTCGCGACAGCTCCAATTGGATAAGGTACACTTTGTTAACGTCACTCGAGGTGTTTTCACCCCTTTTAAGTTCACACTTGCCTCGCCATATTTCTTAGATTTTGGAAGTATTAAACGGATTAAATACTTTTTCGAGGCTTATAAAGCCAATATTAATAACTTCTCAAAAGTTATTGCACTACACAAAAATATCAACAAAGAAAATAAAAAGCATGGAGACAGTGAGTGCGGAAGTGATCAACTCAGTGACGACATTACAGAAACAGATCACTCTTTTTTAGCACAACTGAAGCTACCTATTGCATCTCGTTTCGGCGAAAGAGTATGCATGGGGATAGGACCAACCAAAAAGGAGGCCATTGCATTGGTATGTATGCATGCGGAGTTGACTATCGATACCTTGGGGCTTGCCCTGTACCCCATAAGCAAGGAGAAGCAGTCTCTGCATGTCATGGAATGCGAAAAGGTACAGCGATGGTGTGCGCCTGTGGAGAATTTCGACTTTCGTTACGATGCTGTCTCACCGCCGCCGCTGCGGATTCTACCAGGCCACACAGCGGCGATTCACCGAGGGACGTCAGTTTCGTCGTCCGAAGCGGATCTGACTCAACACCGCCGTGTTGGTGAATACCGCATAGGAGGTGTACCTGTATTCGTGGCCGAAGGGACTGGTGAAAAGCAACATAATGAAAATGGTAGAACTATGCCACACACTATCCCACTATGTGATAAGTTCAGTGGGTGCATTACGAGCACGGAACCCCTTATCGCTGAGCTACAAAATGGCGATACTTCGGTCGAGTCTATGCTTCTAAAGCATAGCTACGCAGTGAAAAACTTTAGTTGTGTGCAGGACGTTGGAAGCGTAGACAAGTCGGCAAAGCTGTTATTGGATCACTATTTAGATTATTATTATCATTCTAAAAGGTTTAAGGACACGAAACCGTTACCAGGAAGTCCTTTTGGCAAAGATGTACTCTCACCGTATCTGGTTGAGTGTCTCGGTATCAAATTTCATGAGACATACCGAGCCACTATAACGGTCTATCTTTTCGCATCCGGAGGGGTTTGTGAAAGCGGGAGTTCGGGCCAAAATGACGAGGCGCGTGATAAGAATGCTACCTTTACGGCTATCGGTATAGCCAAAACCCACCATGAAGCTGAAATAGCAGCTGCGACACATGCGTTGAGGGTCTTGACTGCTTTGAATCACCCAGTAGTATTTTCTACGGAGTCCAAGTTCTTACTTTCTTCCTTCATAGCTGCGTTGAGCAAAGACAGCAGGCAAAACAGTTTCCAACCCTACGACCCCACAAAGCGTGTCAAGGAGTTGCACGAAATTGCGTCGAATCCCTTATGTGTACCTGTGCGCTGCATAGGGAAGGAACACGTAGGTCGTATTATCATCCCTGGTCTTTCCGAAAAACAACTAATCACTACTTCAGAGAATACTGGTGTTACCGCAGCATACCATTCTTCACTAACTTCCTCGTCACGAGTTTTTAAAATCCTTAACCAAGATGCAACAATTATGAAAGCTCTTTTTCAAGCCCGCAAGACATTACCAAAGTCTGACTGGTCTCTGGAAGAGGATGGCAACAACCGCATCGTGGTAAACCCGGCTTCTACTCGAGAGACAGGGCGAGGCTACATCCACACGTTGCCGGGAGTACGAACCCCTGATGGTTTTGCTATTAATCGACTACAAGACTACCTTGAACGGCACGGAAAGTGTCTGGAAACCTCGTTCATCCACTCGTGTCATGAAGTTGATGACGAAGGTATTACGATAGGTCAAGGGTCGTCAACACAGGCCAATTTAGCTGTGCCTCAGAGTGGTGGCAATGGTAAAAAGTCACTATGTCCACTTCTGCACGTTGTTAAAGTAATTTTACCAGTTTCACAAAGATTTGGTCGCACATCAGAAAGTGACCAGGGCTCGGTGAAAGGTGAGGATCTTAAGTTGCCGGGGCGTTTTATTGCGCACGGTGAGGGGTACAACGAAGCTGATGCCCTGCTGATGTGTGCCATGCATGCGGAGTTACTTTTGGACACACTTGGAGTTCCTTTTTATGATCATCCTGTGTTGCAACGTAAACACATCGATACAGCCAATATGCTGGGCCGCCAAACTGCTGTTGGCACTACCGTGAAGGCACCGCCACCTGTACGCAAAGAGCACCCAAACTCTTGCTTATGGGCTCGCATGCAAATTCATCTTGCGAAAGAATCGACAACGCCATCTCAGCCCTTATTTGAGAATTCAGGAGTAGTGGAAACGCCCACCACTGTTGCGTTTCATTCTAAACCTGAAATGACGGCGCAAACTGATATTTTTTTTCCTAATAATTTGCCAGGGTCGTCGGCCAATGGCTCAGATGTGACTGACTCTTCATCGTTTGAGTTCACGGATGATAATCTTTGCGATTTTTCTAAGCTTCAGCCCATTCATAGCACTGAAGTATTTCGCACTTCTTTGAAGCACATTCGACATTATTTTCAACAACAAGGCAGCGATTTCTTTCGTATGTTGCGGCAATATTCCGTCAAGACTTCGTGTCACGGTATTGTGTATCGTGCTATTGTTGAGATTCCGGTGCCTAAGATATACAACAAGCGCTTCGCGGTGGGATGTGCTAGCACGAAGGGGCGGGCACTAAACCTTTGCGCGTCTCACGCTATCTGGACGTTAGATGCGCTGAATATTCCAATTTATTCAGGTTGGGCTCAAACTGATTATGCAAAGTCATCCAGGCTAGTTGGCCGACGCTCCCCAATGCCGGGAGATCCTCTTATGCCTGGGTATACGCCTTCCCCTAGAGGCTTGTGTGACATGTCCGTTGGTGCCATAGAACGACCGGATCCTCCAGTTCTACCGTCTTTGGAGCAGATCGGAAGGGATGCCGCGGTTTGGACAAGCTACGTTCGCTTATGTAAAATTTTCTACAAGAAAAACGAAGAGATCACTTTGCATGAGTCACTATTTCAATTACATCAGGCACCACGTAGCGGAGTTGAGGTCGAGGATAAGGGCTTGAGCTCAGTGGAGCTCATGCCTATTAACAACCGTGCCAAACACCAACTCGTACGTCTCTGTGCAGATGTCGGTTTGCCACGACCCGATGATTTTCGGTATAATATCTATACAAGGGCATCTGAGAAGTGGTTTCTTGTAGAAACCCCTGTTTTAGGAACTGTTTTCAAAGCCCGCGGTTTGGCACAGAATCCTGGTGATAGTATATTACGGGCAGCAATGCACTACGAGTATTTGATTCGAACGGCTGTTCTTCCTCAAAGAGCCTTGTCAAATACTGATAAAAGCTTCCAAAGTGGGCGTCTTGTTCCCACCACTGGTGAGCGGTCGCGACGAGGAATGGAACTTTTTGATAGCACCAAGGGTGATTTCTCCACACAGGGCAAAGCAGCCGTTTTGGCGCTTTATGCTGCAACGCACCGCCCCTACCAGCCTGTGCAGCTCATTTTGCGAGAAGGCGCAGTTGATCCAGCACTACCACCGGTCTCGCTTCACACAGCAAGTAAAATAGCTAACAATAATCCACGTGTAGGTATGCATGTAGTTGTGACAGCTGATCTAAGTGATGATCTTGGTTTGCGTCACTCGGCCAAGGGGGAGCACCCAAGCAATGTATCTGAGGCGATAGAGCGAGCTTCAAGCGGTCTTTTTCACCTCCTCCAGCGCAAAGCGAACATCCAGTTCATTGGTCAGGTCATCAAACGTCACCCTTCTATCTGCATGGGGACTTTATGCAAACTTGCATTTGATAAGACGGATACCGGCGTTGTTGCATCGGATGCAATGTTAATTTCACTTTGCAAGGCTGCGAAAAAAATTGTCGATTCAGCTCCTTTTTTGAGTGAGGAATTCATCTTAGATGAATTGAAGGGCCTACCGATGGAGGGGTCTAGGGATTTATTAAGCTCGTCTTACGCGGTGATGCTGCTAGACATCGTGACCCGCCGATTAGATCAGTCCACTATACACGCGCCGTTGACGACCTCTACTTTTATGTGTGATAACTTCGCAGCCCTTGGTCTTCTTCCTAAGTCTGTTCACGAAGCTGCAAGTTCAAAGAAACTTGAGCCATATGAAACATCAAAGGAGAAGGTCACCTCTATTGCTGGAGTTGTTGCCCTCTTAATGCAGTGCATTCCGCGACAAGCTTCAGTGGGGAGACAAGACTTTACCCTCCTGAACGGGCCACTGCTTCCTATTCAACTGGGTAAGTTACTTCTTGCAGGGTTCCTCTTTGATTGTGTACCTTTCACCATACGTATGGCGGCCATGGTTATGGACTTGCAGAGGATTTGTGTTGTTAATAACCATTCCCACACCTTCTCAGGCCAAGAGGGTGAAGGGGGGGGTCAGGAGCTGCAGTGGCATGACTGGCGAAGTGTCGATCTTGTAGAGGAGATTCTTCATCCGTCGGCTCCTCTACTATCTTCTGTAACATCATATGAGATCGAAATAGCTATGCGTTTATGTGAGCTTCAAACGCTAGTTGAGAAATATGTTCCTGCATCCAAACTCGCGGGACTGTTTTCTCCGTTTCGTGACCTTAAAGAGTTCCAGCGGCAAGCAAATCACCGGCATAATGAAGCAATGTCGAAGGATTCTACTTTTCTTGAAACCCGACTCCATATGTGTGTGGCATTCGCCACATATCCACAGATCCTTACTCCTAAACCTGAGAGCCCGCGCATCGTGGAGGGATCAATTGTTCTCGATGCAGCTGATCCTTCCATCACAGTGCTGGAGCCAATGGACGGCGCGCAACAGGCCTACATCAAGACAGTGCCCCACCACCCACGCGCCCCCTTTGCGTGTTTCGACACCTCGTTGCGCAGCAACACCGATACCGAGAAGACCGTTTCATCTTCTGAAGTGGATGTCCAAAGGAAACGGAAGAATCACCTTCCTCGGCAAGTTGGGGTAGGGCACGCGCACATATGCGTCGCTGGCTCTTCCGTGGCTTCTGTTGTAAATATTGTGGCGACTGTGCTAAGTTGCAACAAACACCACGTGCTTTCTGTTCAAGAAGAGATTCCAAATTTGGGGCTTATGTTAGATGGGACTCTACCTCTGGTGTTTCCATCGGCGGCCGTCATGGAAGCCGTGTGTGAACTTCAGACTGTATTTGCACAGTCCTTGAGCTACTTGAGATCACCACCACATGATGCCCTGCATGCGTTGGATATACTGTTACATTCGTGTGAAAGTAGCAATAAACCGTAGATATATATCTATATCTATATATTTATATTACTGAGATAGATGAGGAGGAGGGGACTTTACAGGGATAACGTATTATTATCGGATGCTCTTTTCACAAACACGCATTAACGTTTATCTAAATTAAATTAATTACATATGTGACTCTTGTTTTTGACCAAAATTATCTACTTTTTGTTTCCTCTTAAGTATTCGCTAATGCATTGTTATTTCGAGACAGACAATTTAAAAACGTACAAAAAGCACATACATATATTTATATTTATTTGCCTGTTTAAGTAAATAAATTTAGAATTTATATTGCAAACGTTCACATGGTTGTTGCACTTGGACGCTCCATTCAAAGTCCCTTGTATACCTTTTTCCAAATCGTTAATGCAGTTAGCTTGTTTTTTGTGATATTGGGTGGCACACGTTTCTTGATTTGTCTCCTTACGTTAGATGAAGAATTATGCCCAAGCGTTTTAGTCGGCAAGAACGGAAACATAGACAAGCAAATTAGTCCCACCTCTCCACTTACAAAGGGCATGTGTCTAGAAGCAGTAAATGCAAAGCCTGTTTGTGTTCTGTCATCTGGATTTTATAAAGTGTGTGCAACCTGTTCGCATATTTTACCAAGTTCGCTTTTCAAAGATTCCTTTATCCCCCGAAGAAGCCCAAGCAGACACTCAGAGTCACTTCAAATCGAAACTAGTTTTTTCGAGTTTATATTGATGCATATGCTGACAAGCGTGCTCGTGGCTTACCCACTGTCCATATTACTAGAACGCGGAAAACTTGTCTTCGATTTTATGCTTACCATTTATGGGGTTTACTTTCTATTCACCGATATCACGTTACACCATGTGATGGGTGGTGGGCTTTATTGGTGGTTCGCTGTGTCATGTGGAATGACAGTTTTGTATAGTTGCACGTGGTGGATTTGCCGTCGTCGTGAATTGCAAGTAATACCTGTTAGCCAAATTAATGTGGAAATGATTATGATACCTCCATCGGATGGAACATCGTCTCAAGAGTGTTTTAGAGGAGGTGAGGGTTTGAATTATTGCAAGGACAAGTTCAATAACGTGACACAGACAGCAGATCTTTTTACAGCCCATAACGAGAATAACTCCATCGGAGAGACAGTTGCATTACCTATTTCAGATAGTAGGTGCAAAGACGAATAAAAAAAAAATCTATTTAGTAATGGTGGTGGTGAGGTAATCTAAAGGGATACCTATAGATCCGAAGCATATATTTCCTTTACTAATTTTTTATTGTTCCTTTTAATTATCCCTTCTCTGAAGAGACTCATGCTTGAAGAAAAGTGAATCTACACTATTTGAACTTGAGGGATTCATAGTCCTGTTCCTTGTCTCTGTTGAACATAATAGATTATCCATGTTCTATTCACATAGCATTTATTTAATATTTCATCAAAAAAAAATACAATGCAGCCTTGAATGAAAGGGATCCAATGTTTACTTGCACCGGTAAATTACAAAGAGGCTTCCTCTTTGGATCTTATGTATTCTGAGCCACACGAATATCATGGACATTATTGCTTTTTTTCCCCATTTATGAAATTGTTCACTGATTGTAAGAATTTTGCACATACAAACACTATATTTATCTATATAGTGGGCTATTTATAAAGTCTCTTGACTTTTTTTTACTATTTAAAAACATTATTAGGAAATAAACGGCTATGCACAAACAATCATCGCATTCGCGTTTAGTAACTGTCATTGTTCTCATTTGCTTTGTATTACTGTTGGGCATGATACCATTTTTTATAGGGAAAATAACTTATGCATACATCGATAATCCTAGATATTACGTTGAAGGAGAAGAAATTCGATTTTGGGGTTTCCCTACTCGTAGTAGTCGTTCCTTTGAATCTATGGATTATTACAGCTTGCCCTTTTGCGCTCCTAAAGAAATTGTGTCGAAACCTCAATCCACCAGCGAGATCATCCGTGGCGAAGAAGGCAAAAGTTCGCTGTACAAAGTCAATGTTTTAGTTAACATCAAATGCACTTTTTTGCCTGACTGTGACACTGCTCGTAATGCTGAAGATCTTAAAATGAATATGAAGTCACTTATCGATGCAGTTGAACAAGGGTATCGAGGATACATGAAGCTTGATGATCTATATCTCATCAACAACGGTACCACACCACAATTTGAACTATGTACTCGTGAACCGAAGTTTAATGACAATTTTCCCCAATGGGGCTATGCTTTAGGAGTGTCTAAATTTTGCACCGGGCTGGAAACCCTTATTAATAATCATCTCCATTTTGTTATTTACTACAAGCTGCGAAGCAAACCTCGCGAGTTTGATGGTCACGGTAAAGAAATCAAAAAATACATGATAATGGGTGTCAATGTCGTCCCCTACAGTATAAAGCGGTCAAATCAGAATACATGCGATAAAAATTTTATACTAAAAAATGATTTATTACGTTCACCTATTGTTGAGGATTTTACAGATCCTTTCTGGTCTTACAGTGTGGAATGGCTACCGTTTGATTATTGGGTTTCCCATTGGAATGCCTATACTCGAAGCTCTTTGCTACGTACCTCGATTCGCACTCAATTGTTTTACATCGGTGCGAGCTTGGTGTTAATACTAGGACTTTGCGCCTTTATGGCGATCAATTTTCTCAGGGTACTACGCCGAGATATTGTGCGGTACAACAATATACCCTTTGAGGTGTTGCAGGAAGAAATGGGCTGGTGGCTTGTGCACGCGGACATCTGCCGGCCGCCAGAGCGGGCGAGTTTATTAAGCATCATGGTAGGGGGTGGTTATCAAGTGTTGTTCACACTGGCGGCCGTGATACTATCCTACTTGCTTGGAGCCATTCCGCTTCTTAGGAAGAATTCAATGTTATTTTCAATTCTATTTTTCTTGCCCATCATGTCCCTTGTTGGTGGCTATGCGTGTAGCTTGCTCTTGGTGTATTTGAATAGGAAAGCATGGAGACATATTTTTCTACTTGGGAGCGGGGCTCCTGTACTGATGCTAGCTATCTGCATGGTGAGGAGTTATTTATCGAGTCGCTTGAACTCGTCTATCGCAGATTCTTCTATAAACATATATTTTTTTCTTTTTTTTTTCGCATTTAACCTGTTCCTCACCATTTTAGGGGCTTTCTTTGCGTTCAATAGAGGCCCCCTAAAGAACCCAACTGGTTTTAGTCGCCTTGAACGTGAAATTCCCAGACAGCCGTTCATGAACCGTCGACTTATGCTATACACATTGTCACCAACCCTTCCGTTTTTAAGTATTATCCTGGAGCTTCACTACCTCATGTCCGCAATTTGGGTAGGACAAATAAATTATGCCTTTAGTCTTTTAGCGTTTGCAAGTCTAGGTTGGGTTCTTGTATGTGCCTTCGTAACGGTATTTCAGCTCTACAACCTTTTGTATCATGAGAACCATCGTTGGTGGTGGTCCGCGTTTATGATCCCTGGTTGCATGGGGTTGCATATGTTCGTGTACTCCATTTTTCTATGTGCGAAGCTTCACATTAAAGGATTTTTACCTATGCTTCTATTTTTTTTGTACATGGGTATGGTATCGATTGTGTATGGCCTTGCATCTGGAGCAATTGGTGTCACTGCCGGCGTTTTTTTTATGCGAAAAATATACGGAAACATTTCAATGAAATGATACTAATAATCAAAAGGCAACAAATAATAGGTTAATGATATTGCTTTTTTTTTTGTTTGTGTGTTTCTTAGGAGGTATAGGGGGGAGGGGAGAAGTAAATGATCAGAAAAAAGCTCCGAAACTAAGCGACATTCAAAATGAAAATTGAGGGACATGAAAAGTCGATCTTAATTCCTTTTTTACTCTGCGCGTATTAGAACGCGACGAAATCTAGGTTAAAACATATTGGCGCGAATTAATGACTTCTGAGCCGCCTTCTTTACGTATCTAGAAAAGGCGGAGTTTTTGAAACCAAAATCATATTTTTATTTTGGTGGCGATATTATTGTTATTACAAAATATCACGTGATATTTGATGACCTGATAAAGTCAATCACTTCATCGTGTTAGTATTTAGCACTTCGAGGTGAAGTGTGAAGCCAGGTTTTTTCGGTCTTTCTCTTCAGCAAATTGGGATGTGGACGTATTGACTTCAACAAGAAAGCCAATGGGAGAATCCTTTTGTGAAGCATACGATTACGTCTTTTTATACTACTTTTATAATTCATATTTATTATGATATGCTATCATATGGAGGTATGCGTTTCTCAATACAGTCGACAAAGGTATAGCCCCTTCCTGAAGGGAGAGCAATTAACGCCGATCCGTACAACTGGACAGTAAAAAGAGCCAAAAAAAGTTTCAAGATAGAAAAAAAGTCAAGCGTGAGAATCATGAGTTTTTTTAATTTCTAATGTATCTATGCGTATTAACCTAGAAACGTAATTATCATGGTGTCCATTCGTATTTATTTTTGTGTCTTACATAAGGAGTATATTCAATAATGAGAGGCTTGGAGCTGTTCTGAAGCTTTATTTTATTTTTCTTTACTAAATATCCCGTATTTAAATAATTTATGTTCTAGGAATGCAGATGAATTCCTTTCATAAAGACCACTTCCCCAAGACTCAGGGATCGTTGGATAAGTTTGAAGGTAAATTTAAACCAAAACGATCATTCCTGAACAGGAAAATGTTACATCATATATATGCATAAGCAGAAGGATAATATTTTTAATGTATTAATATGAACTACTGTATTATTATTCGATTTAATCTATTTCAAAGTTCAACCTTAATGAACACAAATAGAAAAGAACTATGTGTAACTCCTCTACTACTTTTAGACGTCATTTCAGTAATGCATTTTTTTTAAATATATACTCTTGTCCTCTTTAAATTTTCTCGATGTTGAAAAAAAAGATTATATATTCTTTTACTTCTTTGCTTTTCAAGATAAAATATTTGGTATCAGAAGCGCGACTTGACTATATAGTAGTCTACGATCTATACGTTTGCTATTGAATTCGCTACTTTATTATTTTAAAATACTTCTTTTTTTTTTGTTTCATTCCTTCTATTTATATATATGCATTTCAAGTAAGTGCAGTCCCCTTATTTAGTTTTAAGGAAGATTTGATATTATCTAGTGTGTAAAAAATATATTAATGCTTGGATCAAACGCTGAAGAGAGCGACTGCCTCATCATTCGTACAGAGCTCATTGAAGCCCTTCTTAAGCGCCAGAAATATGGCGATTCCGTATTGGAGCGCAGCCAGACTGGTGGGGATGTTCAGGGAAGTGATACTCCATTTCTCAATGGACTCAACGATGGCTCCACGACGGCTCAGTGTCCTTCCTGTGAGGATTACGGTGTTTGTGATGGTGGTTTGATTGAGCAGTTCGTGCGGGTCTGTCCGCCGCTGGGTGTACCATCTTGGGCTATGGAGGAGTGTCTAAGAATTTCCCCAAAGGCCGAGACATGGTACGGCACCGCCCTTCACCCTAAAGTATGGGGCCTACCAGGAACCGCACAATGCACTTTCATGACGCAGCCATCCGATTTTCTAAATTTTTTAGTGAATGAGTAAAAGGATATTGCTCTAGTTGCTTATTTTACGCTTGTTGTTAGTTGGAAGGTTCCCTAAGAAATTATCACATATTTTTACGCATAGCATTCATGAGTGTATCCGTACAACCTTTTATATACTCTCATGTTATGACGTGCATCCGTATTGCTGAATTTAAACACACACACAAAAAAAAACATAGTGCTTTATGGCTTATGATGCTTATTATTATTGATGTTATATAATCCCTTATTTTTATTCTTCGCAGACTTACCTTACCTTATTCTGTTCATTTGCTTACTATGGAAGCGGATCCTTAGTTCCAGGATAGAGTAGGGGACTATAATACTGAAACACAAAAAGCAATGAAGCTCAATATTAGGTGTTTAGTTTCCAGCGTCAACTCTTTAGAGCTGCCAGAGTCGGAGGTCATAGAGAAGGAAGTACAAATAGCAAATCCGCGAGCGACGTTGCTCCAGCTTCGGGCCACGGCTGCTGTCCAGTTTCGGCTAAATGCATACGGCTTTACTATGATCTATTGTGGTGAAAAGACTGTGAATCTATCAGATGAAAAAAAGCTTCTGGTGGATTGTGGTCTAGAGGAAGGCGATTCGATTGTGCTTATTTCCAAACATTTGCGATCCGAAAACAGCTGCATGCGCGAGAATGAAATGAAAAAGGATCAACCTCCTTTTTCGGACACACTACCACCTCTTAAAGAAGCTCGTTTGGAACTTCAAGAACCTAAGCCACAAATAACGGATGCAATTGACACTGCCGATTCTCTCTCTTCTGCTATTTTGCCGACAGAAGTCTCAACAACACTTCAGAATGCTCTGGAGTCATCCGTGAGTGGAAATGAAGATAATAATGACGATTCGAGCATTGGTAGCGAGAACGATGATCTGGCGAATAGCTTAGAGAGTGGTGAAAGCAGCAATGGTTCTTGTGAACTCTACAGCCGCCTTTTGGAGATAGCACCCAACTTGGTTGAAATGCGTGATAGCTTCCTCGCTGACCCTCGTGCTGTTTTGGAGCGCGTGAAGGTTGAGGATCCCACGTTGTCTAAGCTAATCGCCGAAAACCAAGAAGAATTTCTTTATTTAATCAACAACCCGTCGCTTGTGCAGACACTTCAGGCGGAGAAAGAAATCCAATATACTGATGATCTTTTTAATGACGAGGAGATCGAAGAGATACCTGAGGAATTTTTGGATCTCTTCGATGAAGGTGCTCTAGAGGAAGGAGATGAAATTATCGAGAACGTCAATATAGATTCACGAGAATGTGATAAAGAAAGCATTTTGGCGTACGCTCCTTCTGAAGACGATGAAAAAAAAATTCAACAACTCGTTTTACTTGGTTTCAGTTATGAACAATCCAAGTTGGCGTTTTATCGCTGTTTACGAAGCCTGGAGAGGGCAGCAAATACGCTGTTTGAGAATCCACCAGAGTTATAAATGAGTGATAAAATTGAAATCAAATAGAGAACGTAAAGGGACAAATAAAGAAATATAGGGCAGAAGCTAATCCTCCCTCTAACAAACGACTGTAAGAGTACATAACTACAGGGATTGTAGTTTTATTCAAGGTATTCAACCTTGTTAGTCAATGTTGTTGTGTCTAAGTTATATAAATTATTTATTTCTTTTTAAAATTTCTGTGTTTAAAGAAGAAGATTGGGTACATATTCTTCTCTACAATGATTGTCTTCTTTATCTCTCCTCAAGAAGCGAACGCTAAGCAGGGGAGGGGTCAGGCGTATTTGTGACTATCCGCATGGTTGGAGATCTAAAAACTCTCCGACGCATTTATAAATAAGAGAACCGATTTAATGATCAATCTGTCTTTTATATTTGCTCTGATACTTCATCTTCTTTTCTAAAGGGAAGAAATGCAGCATATGTCCCATGACGGAGATTCAAACCCGTGTGGTTTCTTTAGTTCTTGTTTTAGTTCATCTGGTAGGCTATTTCTTACTGCCACATCCAATGGCCTCCGCGCAGTTTCACTAATTAGAACTTCCACGGGTTCCGTGAGTCCGGCTAATCCATCCGTACAGAAGTCCAACGCAAGAATGGCATATCCGGTTGAGCCACCTTCACCCCCAATATGCCCTCTCCCATCAACGCAAAGAACAACAAACGAGAGGACGGATTCTTTGCCCACTGGTACGGATTTTTCCACCGCTGAGAGACCATTTACCGTAAGACACGGCAGCACTTTTTTGGCGGCTTCGACGTCTTTATGGCGCTCGCCCGTGCGCGTCGTGGCGGTGGCTGGGGACAGCCCCGTCGTCGCGGTTCTGTTTGAGCACACCGCGGCCGCTGAATACGAGGGAGGCCACCAGCCACTGTACAGTTCCCCCCATTCCACAGGGCCGAGTACCCCACGCCCTAGAAGTTCGTCCACATTCTTGCCCTTCAAGGGAAGCCCACATGTGCACTTGTTTGACGCAGCTTCTGGTGTGTGTTTGGTGGAACTTTACTTCCGTGGGGCACTTGCGTGTACGCTACGGGCTAACACGCACTTACTTATTGTAGGTATGAGTGATTGCTTCCATGTGATCAACATACGAACACTTGCTCATCTGCGGAAACAATCAGTGCCCAATTTAATAAGTGATAAACTTTTATCGCTTTCACAAATCCCGTTAAAAGTCTATACACATCCCCCCCTCGATGAAGAGCTAAGGGGTAAGAGAGACGTTGCAAATGATCATCCAAAAGAGCAGACGGTGCATGAGGCTTGGCACATCGCCTATCCATCCCAGCCCCGGAGTACTTCCACTGGGGGTATAGAGGGAACCGTGAGGGTATTAACCATTAGTCTGCCCTCTTCTTACAGTGTGCTGCATTCCGCTCCGGCTCCTGTCACCCCGATGCCCAACTCCACGACCGTGTCATCCCTCACACCTAAAAATCCCAAACACCTTCGAAGGCAGGAGTTGTCACCTTCTCTTGTTCTACCTGGGGCCAGGGTGGGGACGATTGATCAATCCTACCGGGTGATCACACCCCATAGCCATCCCCTTGCTGTTCTTCAGCTTTCCATGGATGGTGCCCTACTAGCGTCGGCTTCCGTCCTCGGCAGCACCGTCAAGCTCATGGACGCGGTCCACGGTATCGTCCTGTGTGGGTTTCAGCGTGGGCACTTGCGTGCTACTGTCCACGCTTTAGCCTTCAGCCCCAATGCCCGTTCCCTGGCCGCGCTCAGCAGCAGCGGCACATTACATCTTTTCCATTGTGCCATGGCTAATATCCTTGACGACAGGGGGAAGCTAGGGGGGGGGCAAACAAGGCATACTTTGGCGATGAGCAACTCTAAGTCATCCCCCTTTAGCAACATCTTGAATAGTAAAAAGAAACGGGCGTTCAATAAAAAAGTTGTTTGTCCTTTGTTGCCTAACACCTTGGCAGCGATTCCGCGACTTAATTCCTCGCGGTCTCGTTCTCATTCCTCAGTGACCTATGCATTATCAATGAGGCCCAGGGCGAAAGCAGCAGATTCCCTCTGTTTTGGAAAGACTCCCGAAAATAGTGTAATGGGTTCATCAGGTACACTCTGCAGAACCGCGAAATTTCTTCCTTCAATGGGCAACTACGCATACTGCATGTGCTTCTCTGCCGATGAAAGGTACGTGTGGGTGGCTCAACAACGAGGCACACCTGTTGTATTTTCTGCCGCAGGAACGAATCCACCTCCGAAGGCTTTTACGCGGACAGAGGGCAATATGAAGCGCAGTTCCGCACCCACCACACGGACTCCGGTGAATACTGACACGTTAGTGGGCCCCGCCGATGCTTCTACAGCTACTGACACCATATTTGGCTCGAAGGATTCCCATGTTGTGTATGCAAGTCTACAGCGTTTTGACATTGACAACACTGATTTATTTGCAAATGAAATATACAACGTAAAATCGTAAAATATTTTTTCTTAGCCTGCAGTTGTCATTATGTGCCATAAATAGAATACGGCCTTAAACAGTGTTAGGGCATGTGTGTCTATGCCCCTGTGCTCACCTTTCCATTAGCGGAAAATATAACACAAGACGTTACTTGACGCTATTCCCTGTCAAACGATGATTATCTTTTATTTCTTTGCTTTTATATACTTCTTTTTCACCATGCTTCAAACAATCGAGGTACCAATATTAGTTTGGATTGAGTTTACAAAATGTCAGTATACACATAGCTGTATTTCCATAAAAATGAGATGGAACTGGAGTCACCAATAATGTATTGAAATAATTCAATTCAAGAATTGTTTACTTTTTCTACAATCTTTTTCATCGTCTCTAACTTTTTTCATTAACTCATATGTAAATCCTTTTGCTCCAAGTTTCACAAGGCATCTTTTGCTCTTGCACTGTTATGGGCTGAAAGTTACAGACTTAACTTTATGAAGGTACATAGGAAGCGAACTCGTGAAAATGATGTAGGGGACTTGGTAAGAAAGAAAGGTAAATCATTAGATGCAATATCACCAGATGGGCAGATTGATCAACTGAAGGCTATTTGGAATGCGGCGGTCTCTGATCCAGTGGAGATTTCCAGCGGAATGCGCCCATGCAAGGATAAATATTGGGTTCCCAATAGACACTACAGAGCCTTCATCCAGACTAATGACGTGAATTCTTCATGCTCTCCTACTTTTACTTTACCTTGTACATTCGAGCGCTATGATTTAGTAGGAACAAGCGATATCAATGAATTAGTCCTTAAACACGAAGCCATGAAGCCGCGTGATCCAGATATGCGGGCAAGTCGGTTCAAATGTATCATCTCGCCTGAGAAGCGACTCCCTGCGATATTCAAACTAAACACATTTTGTTTTAACTTTGTCCGCTCTCTTGTGCACCCATTGCATAACTTTTTACAGTATCACTACAATCTGCATAACGCCAATGAACTTGAGGTTATGCTTATGCCATGTAAAGGCCCTCTTGCTGAGGCGGACGCGCGCTATCATCGCCGTGTAGTTTCCAACATGTCTTCAGAGCGCAAAAGTGGTTCTGCGAGACTAAAACTCAAGTCGGCTCCTTTACAAGAGGCAGCATACACCAGTGATGGAAATCTTACAGGCAGACATTGCTACGTTGCCACAAATAATGAAACACTTTCCGAAAACAATTTTTTAGACGCAGTACGGAACTGGGGTGTTGCTAAAGTGTTTGACATCAACGGCTTTACGCTTCTGCGAACTGGTGCTATTGGCCGACATGCCGAACAAAAGCTCCTAGAGTTCTTGGTTTCCGAAATTTTACCGAACGCCGCACCAGAGTTTTTGGCCCCTGAAAGAAAAAAAACACTTCAACCTACAGAAAAGGCATTAGTTATAGGCGAACGACTCCCGTGTGCAGTGTGCAAACTGTTCGCCCGGCGGTACGAACCGTATGCTGAAATGCTACCATCACACGGCCATCTATACTTATCAACTGTATCCACGACTCTTTTATTCGATAATTCACTTGAGGAGCTTCTTCGCTTTCCATCCGCAGCAGCGTCGCTTCTGATGGAGAATGGATCCAGTCGATGTCTCATGCATCATCATATTAGTAAAGCGGATCAAAAAACCCTAAGGAAAACAAAATAGTAAAGTGTTGGAGTAAACTAAGCGGGTTCATAGTTTGAAATCACCTTCTTTAATTTGCTTCTTTACTGACTAAACTAAGCTTCAAGCAACCCTGCAATTTGACTCTCTATGCCTTCAACGGAATAAATCTTCTGATAGATCGTTAATTAGTAAGAATCGGATGTCTTGAGAAGCTTTAGGCTTAAGTGTGTTTTGATATGATTCACTGTTGGCACCAAGATCAGAGGGAGCAACATATCATGGATGGTTATCTTGTCACAAGGGTTATCTTGTCTCAGCTTGGAAAATGGTGCGTAAATCATCTTTACGGTTGTCGTGCTGAACACCAGTGGTGGTTCGTCATATGAAGGTGAAGGAAACCGTTTGAAGTTTATACTATTAGTGAATGATGATATTGGAAAGGTACCCACATGGATTGAGCACTGAGATAGGGTTCTGTCACACTTAAAGTTAGCCTTCCCATTAAAGCAAACATGAAGCTTATCATTCATGAGAATGACCATTTTCGTACTTTGTTCACTTTTTTCCCCTATAATATTTGCTAAATTAATCGCGTTTACCTCCTTCCGCTTTGCATGTTCCGCCATGATGTAAAATAAAAATGAAAAATGAAAAATAGAAGGAACAAGAGTAGAATAATACACAGAGGCAATTTAATCTGAGGGTGATTTTTTATTTTTCACCCTCGTGACTCTTAGAAAAGCTTTTATGGCTCGTGATGCTAAGCACTACAGCAGTGCACGCAATGGAGGAAGTACAAATTCTCTTGAGCGTAGGGGGAGGGGACGAGGGGGTCGTCCAGGATACAGTCAACTCAATACAAAAAAAACGTCCACAGTTACGGTGGCTCAGACCCTCTCATCTGTTGATCCCAAGAGTCGTAAGTACAAGAGAGGTCGCAACGAGCTTGATGCCGAGCCAGAAGATAGATATGAGAATTTTACATTTCCTAACCATAAACCATCCCGTAATCAAAATAATAATGGAAAGAAAAAGAACAGTTGGACTCTGACAAAGACTCCAAAGGTAGGGGAATATTCTGATCTTGCAACTGCTGCTGCGATAGTGGTACCTTCATCCTCAGAGGCCGTAGCAGCTCAGACTACCATTTCACTGTCTTTAGGTCCACCCATGGCCACTTCCAGGGGGAATTTTACGCGCCCGAATTCATCGCCAGGGACCACGGAGTTCGCCTTCTGGCATCGCCTTGTGGACCACCAACGGCTACTGGATTCGCTGAGCAACAGCGGTGCAGCCTTGGCAGCTTCTGACCCTCTTGACGCATCAGAACCGATGTCCGAAGGCTCTGAAATGAGTCTTTTTTCAATAAGCGAAGATCGTCTACGGACCTGTGTTCAGGCCACCTTGGATCTCAAGGGCTTGATTACTTATCGACACCGCCGCGACATGGATCCGCCATCGCTGATGGAGGGATGGTGCATCCCCCGTTCTTATTTTTGTGCGGTTTTGGCTTTGGCCAGGTTGTGTGAATCATCTATTCCCACTCGATTCCCCCCGCTTATTGCGGCCGATATGGTCTCCCCACTCGATAACAATGATGTGGAGAATGAAGCAGGAAATGAGGATAGTCGAGCGTGGTGGCCTTCGCCTGTGTCGTTAACCGCTGTGCAAGAGCGTTTGGCTTGCGCACGTCGTGTACTACAGCTTCGCTACGTATACAGCATGTTAGCCCCTTTCGTGAGGAACTGCAATACTATTGCCGAACTCACGAAGTTGCTTATGCCTCTTAGAGATCCACCTCCTGGCCTGCGTGCCGGAAGCGACCGGAACAATTATTGGAATGGCTCCAACCGATTTGTGTCGTTTCCTAGCACTTCCCCGCATCGAGTTGAGGAGCGAGTTCTTTCGGAGCTCCTTCTATTGGCTAACCAAGATTGTGCGATTGATACAGAATCGTGGGGTTCATTTGCGACGCTTCCTCTCTTGAAGGTGCGGAATGGTATTTATACAATGCACCGTGCGTCGCGACAAGATACCCTGAAGAAGCTACTAAAAAGAGAAGAGGAGCTCTATGGCTTGCCACCGTTTTTGCGCTTCATCCGGCGTGCAGGCGTAGGGTCTACTCCGGTGTATAGCCATACTGGAAGTTTTGTTGGCCCAGAATTGACTAGTATTCCGGTGGTTGGTGTCCAACACACAACGTCTGCACTCTTACATAATATCCAAAATCGATCTACTAATGGGGTTTGTGCCGATAGCCGTTCTGGTATGACCAATAGCAACCAGAGCTACTTTTTTCCTTCCCCAGAATCACTTGAACCCGACGCATTTGCGTTTCCAGACCCTGCGTACTACCCGACAGTGCAGGAGGAGTTGATCGAGATCGCCGCAAAGCACAGTTGCTTCGGCCTCGTGATTGGGGAGGCGGACCATATATTGAAACTATGGAAAGACTGGGCCCTTTATTGGACACATTTAGAAAGGCCTCAACGGAAGCAGGAGCATGACCAGGCAGACAGCTCGTCTCCCGCATCGATAGGTACTGAGGCGAAACGGAGTGTGTGGCTTGATAACCTAAATGAAAAAGTGAGACCACATAATAATGGAGATGTGAGGAGTGAAACAAAGCAAAGGTTTCATCAAGGAAAGGCCGAGTCGCCACTGCGGGATCCGTTGCTGCCGTTTGTTTATTCCGCTACGAACAGTCACAAAGGTACGAAAGAAACACCCTCCAGTGAATTTTCCCTCAAGACCGCTGCAAGTGGTGATCATGGCAGCGAGGGTTCCAAGGCGAATGGAAGTCCGCATTCCGTATTCTGGCTCTGTGGGAATCGTTGGTCTACCCAAACGTTGTACTATGGGTTGGTATTCGAAGTAGAATTGCAGAGTGATATAGGAAAGTACGACCAAGGTGATGGAATGACTCCATTTGCACCACTGGATGCTGATTCTTTAGATAATAAATTACTACACAAGGCTGATGTGAGAGGGATGAATATTTGCAGCCCATTAATTTATTATCCAAACTGTCTCCTAGAGCTTTCTCGATAGCACTTTATAGTCACAACGATATAAAAATGGAGTAACAAAGAGAAAAATTATAAAGGACTGAGTAAACGGCGACCCCATAACTGTGTGAGTGTATATATGCACTATTTTCATTACATACTCCTCTACACACGGCACATCTTGATTATGCAATGCATTTCTAAGATTCTATAATTGCACAGATAAACTTGAGGATGGCTAAAATAGAAAAGTATAAGCGAAGTGAATTGCTTTACAAGCTATGGGAGCGGCAAAAAAAGAGAAAAGTTTGCATTTTCTGTAACGAGCAAGCTTGTATACTTGTAAAAAGAACTCTTCCTTAGAAATGGAAGTTTCACTAAATATTTTCTTACTTTTTCTATTTTTATCCTATCAGCTATAAGCAATCTATACATATATAATTATATGTATATATAATTATATATACAATTTTTAATAATGACACAATGAGATGTAATACTTTCCTAAATTTGTCATACGCTTTTTTTTCATTCATCTCTTGCCGTTGGTTTAGTTCTCCTTCAGTCGGGGAAGGTGATAATAGCTTTACTATTTCGTTCCGCTAGACTGTGTTGAGCGTGAAATATAAAAAAAGCTGATTGGAGAAAATAATATGTCGGTAAAACATTCTACATTTTAAATACTGAAATTTTGATAAGTCAACGATATGTTAAGCCTGACCGAACTAGCCCGCGGTGGATACATGATGTATCACCGGAAGGCTATGGGGACCATGAAGTACAGTCGCTGGCGTGGTGCCCACGGTGGAATCAGTCATTTTTATAACCGCACTGCAATGCTAGAGGAGGTTCGCAACAATGTCCCCGTGACGATGGTTGATCGTGGTATGATGAACTACGTCCACCGCTCCCGCCTTCGTCACTTTCAACTGTTTCGATCTTATCAACAGAAGTCAAATGCTACGGAGTGCAAGCTGCGCGAGGGTGAGATGCTGCGTCGTCGCTGGCATCGTCGTCTTCAGAAATCTTTTATTAGTTTTATGCAATTCAAAACCATGAAGGTTCTCGAAGAACAGGCTAAACTCGTAAACCAATATGGGCAGGCCTCTGTGAATGCTGCCCTTGGAGATCCGTGGAATGTCACTTCACAGACGGAACGTGAACGCAGATATGCCGTACTGCATCGACGTATCAAGTCACTTCCTACTGTGAATACTGTGCCAAAGCACATTGCAACCATGAAACAAATCCACAACGATCGTTTTGATTACCGTTGGCGCGTAAATTAGGAATTGTGATACTTTCCTTCTTTTTTGAGGGGTCTCTGGAGAACGTGTTCATAAAGTTCCCATATGAGTGGTACATTGGGACATACAATGAATAGAATTCCTTTCGTTTAGCGTGAATGTTATCTTTCCTGTGTGCCGCATCGTCCTAGGGCTCGAGGTTCCTAGCGTTGTTGCTTTTGTTGCCATCGCTTTCCATTTTTTAAAACGTGTTTATTCCTACAAAACTGAACAAGTGCGGAAGACTATAGCTTCCGAGCTATTTATATAAAAATGGTGATTTCTGTGAATATATTCTGTTTTTTTTTCTTTTTTCTATTTGGTTCGAAGGGATCTAAATAAATTGAGTATAACGTATATGTATGTATATGTTTGAGTTGATACCTATTAACGTACACGTTGTTAAATTCGTTGCTTACCTGCTCAAGTATGTCTAGCCCTCCGAATTCACTAAAAAACGATTCCCAGGTTGGAATCTTACCCGCACACAAGTCATTACAAGCAATTAACACAGTTGCCGCCGGAAGCTCACCACGCTTTATTCAGTTGCCTTCACCGGTATATGTGGCGTCCTGGATCTCTACCACACATGTTCTGATTGCGGCTGGGGGTGGTGGTAGTCGTTTTGGGATGGCCAATGTCCTCGTTCTGCTTTCGATTCATCTTAGCAACCAGGATGCGGTTAGTCCTGAGATGGGAGACCGTGCTGCGTGTTCAGGGTTATCAATGAAGTTAAACGCTGAACAGCACAAGATGATCGCGACCGCGGCGCCGCCTAGCTTTTGCACTTCTACTACATCCACTGGGGCGGGTGTGCACATCCCACACTTGTGGACGTTCGTCGCTGCGTTAGATCTTGGTGGCGATGTCCCCTGGTGTGCCTCGAAATACCTTCATTTGGAACGTTCAGAGGTGGAGTGCGGCGCAGCGGATGATTCAACGAACCTTTCCACTCGTGAATGGGCACTGAACGGAAACAAATGCCTTCAGTGTACGCATGGCATCATCGCTTTGAGCAGCATCCGGACTTTTAGCCTTATTGCCGTGGAGCACGTTTCAGGAACGAGTCAAACAGGTGAGTCTATTAAAACTAGCGAATCGTTGTGTTGTGCAGCGTATCGATTAAGACTTCTGGCGCGTATTGCATTACCCAGCGAGACAGGCAACGAAGACAAAAAGCCCATTGCGATGGTACGCTACGCCGTTGTGGTAGCTCACGACGAATGCGGAATTTATGCCTATGACCTGCGTTCCTTGCTACCTCAAGGGGAAAGGGGAAACGACGCAGGGGAACCGGTGGTCCAGGCGATTCCGATGGCTCAATGGACGCTACCGGACCGTGTCAATGATCTTCACGCCGATCGCTTCAATTGGGTATTGGTGAGGCCATTTTCCAAGGCTCTCGCCTTGGACTATGTGCTTATTGTTGCCCTAGTCCGGGACAAAACCCTGCGGCTTGGCTCTTTTCGCCAAAATAGGTGTCTCCCCATTTTTTACTCATCATGCCGTGGACAGGCGCAATCTGATGAGATCGTCTGGGAGAGTGAGGAAGAGGAACCAAGCAAATCTAAATTAAGTGTCATTGGGACTATTAAGGAAGAGGCAGTGCTTACTGGAGTAGACTGTGGGCTGCAATTTAACTTGTTTCCCTCTTCCATGCGTCTTGTACGTTTGTTTGGTTTGGAAACCCTTTCCTTTTCCGCGCAAGAGTGTGCCCTAAAGACACTTGCCTTGAGAGTTACCGAGGATAGTGCGAAATTGTTAAGACCCTTGCCACTTGTTTCCCTTATTATGGTAGTTTATGATCAGCATCGCAACCAGTCTTTCTTCCTGCATGCATACGTGATGATATCGGGCTGCCCAAGTGCACCCTTTTTGGCAAAAGAGACACTCCCAAAAAGCGACGAAATGCTTCAGGGCAGCGATCCCAATGGCAAAGGGGGGAGGGATCCTTTGATTCATTATCAAATCCGTATGGGGGCCGGTGGCCCCTCGCCAATTGTTAAGGATGCCATAACGTGCTTCTCACAATGTTCTAATATGGATGAGTATCTCGAGTTTGCCCCAAACCAGACGCAGATGGACTTGAAAAGTGTTGTGGGTGCTTCCTTTCCGACACATTGGTTAGCGGGTACCGTCGAAGGATGGATTGTGTTGGTAGTGCGGAACCCGAAGATTCGGCCAGAGGATTTGATTGGCGATAGTTTTGGTGCAGATCCATCTTGTACACATGGGGTGGTGGAAGGTGGCGGAGGCAAGGATATTTCTAGTGAATATGGTGACACCTCTCCGCCATTTTTTGTCTTGCGGCATGCTCGACCGTCTCCTTTGCTGAGTCAGGGTGGGAAGCGTCGGAATGTTTTCTGCTGGGGAAATCCAAACGTTCCCCTTCATTCGGAGCCTGTTACCGCGGTGGCAGTTTCAAAGTTGAACGATATTTTATCAACCGACTTAGCGCAGAATGTTGTGCTTTCCACATTACCAATGCCAATTCGAGCCGTCAGCATTGCTAGCCTGCCGAATCATCTGGGCTCAATGGAACTGTTGCCTAAGGTAGAGGACTTGGAGCTATTTCCCAAGGAGCTAAACCTTCATGCAGAGCTTCTTGGTGGCCTAGCCACTGTACTTGCCCGTTCCATGCGCCTTAGGTGGATACTGTTAGTGTTAACTGTGTTATGGGGAATATTTCTCTTGTTTTAGTGATGACATAACATTTCTAGTCGTTTACCTACTCAGTCAATGAATTAAACTGATCATGTAACATGCAGAATTTTTTCGCATCATCAAAATGTGTATCCCTTATATGGTCTCTAAAGAGGATATACAATAACAAAAGCGTATCTATAATATTTGTTCATTGCTTCCTGTTTTCCACCTACCCCCACACGTGTACATGTCTGCAGATTACTTTTTACCCTGGTAATGCAGTCTTATGACTGAAATCTTGCTCCTATCTTTTTTCCGAAAGTAGAGAAGAAAGAAAAAGACAAACGATCGACCTGTTTCTATATTATCTTATTTAGTATTCTTGTTCAATGCGAAAGGCATTCGTCCGTATTTTCTTTGATAATTCGATATTTACCTCGTAACGTTGGAATTATCATCGATTTGAAAACCCAGCACAGATAATCTAAGCATTTTTACCAAATTCTCGGCAGGGAATAAATGAGTAAGCTTCCATCATCGCTAATGCAGCTTATTAATAGTGCTCACACCGAGCATAGGATTATTGAGTCACTTCAAGACTTTTGATCCTGATGATATCTTGTCAAGTGTTCCACGGTATAATGACTTCTGGTAATATTATCATAGGATATTTGATTAAGCCCTTGTATTTAGCCAACTTTCAAGCAGGCAATAATGTGATAGTAAAAGACAAACACGATGTCAACAAATATATCAATGATAACGTTTGTTAAGAGTCAAATTACACTTGAAATTTTCCGAATGAGTTGTTATCGACACTAATCGGTGCTATGACGCAGTTAATCTATCCAAAAAAAATTTTCGATAGCCTTGACTACATGGAGTGAACCTTCTAGTTTTTTTTTTACAATTCCCAGTGTACTAGTAGACGTTTTTCAATGGCGTATGGAGAAATCATAACAATAAAGTGGTGTGATTACCAGGCAAATCCATACACAATTCTTTTTTCAGTGCGTATGGGAAGAGGTATGGTGGAGCGGAGAGGGTAATGTCTTTGTTTTGTTTTGTCTTCTAGAATCGTAAAACGAAGGACAAAGAGCTGTGAACTTTTCTGGAGGATTCATATGATCTTCAAGTTTTCTGCAATAAGTTTCCCAGTGTCATAGCCTTCGAAGATTTATACTAACGATTGTTTTACTTGACTGTATTCCATACAGACTCATTCATCTCTCCAAGTGAACCTTTTTTTTTGTGTCTCATCTCTCCTCCCTGTACTCCAGATCTATTTCGAAGCGAGGTAGTTTGAGGAAATCCACACCTTTAAAAAAATTTATAGAATGGATTTTCATAGGACCCTTGCAAGATGCTAACGTTTTTTTAATCTCTTAATAGTCGTATTATTATCCTGGTGATTTTTACACCATTTCACTTCAATGTGGGGTGAAAGATGCTTTGAATAGTTATTTAGGTGCATAGGGAGTGGGAAGAAGGCTAGCGCGTGGTATCTGATTACATTTGATGTATTGAGGTGCCGCGGTTTTTAGCCTGTGGTTTGGGGAGTGTTTTTGTCTTTGCGTATATAATAATGTGGGAGCATTCTATCAGTTGTGAATGCCTTTCCTGGTACCGTATATATTTATTGTATGCCTGCGCTTTTGTGGTCGATTGTTCTTATTTCCTTTCTCATGATTTTATAGCCGTATGGGAGATGTGTGTGCAGATGATTCTTCAATTTTCTGATGTAATGAGTCTGATATAGCTTACCTTCAGATAATGAGGGATGGTTTTGTGATTGACTATATTTTTTAAAATTAATGATGACACACAGAAAAAGGACAATAAGGATAGCGAGAAATAGTGTATCATTTTACAGTATGTGCTGAGTCACTGTAGGGGATCGAATGAATGATGTTTAGTACTTTTTATTTCTTGACCATTTATGAGATATATACGTGTATTCATTCGTTGTGGAGTTAGGTATAATCAAGGATTAAGTTTGGGAGAGAGTTAGTATAGAAAGAGGTGTGCAAATATTATTGAACATGCTGGTATATATCATTTTTTGCTGCTTCTTATCCTTTTAGGAAAGATCAATATAATTATTCTCATTCGCCAACCATTTGTTTACTTCATTTTAATGTTTAAACTCTAAGGTATTATCAGAAGATCCAACAATTTCAGAATACTTGCTATATTGTTACGACCTTAATTGAACATATCACAAGTTCAACATATTTTCAAGGATATACACTAAACATTCTCTACGATGAGCTACATCATCAATGAGTTATGTCGCTTCCGTATGCTCGTAGGTGGGGTATACCTGGGCATTGCTATCAGCTCGTCCTACGGTTTCAGCATCTTCACAGAGTATCTTAAGAGCAAGTATGGCTTTACTCAAAGTGAAATAAACACTATCAGCACGGTTGGAAACTGTGCAGGCTATCTCTGTTTCTTTGCTGGCATGTTGTTTGACTATATAGGACCTAGGGTGGTAATATTAATCTCAGGTTGCCTGGGGACTTTGGGGTTCTTGCTGTATGGTCTTGCTTTCGATGACATAATTCCGAACGATAATAATAAAAACCTAATGCTATTCAAGTTCTGCATATTCAATGTCATCCTTTATTTTGGATCACCCTCCCTGGATGTATGTGCATTGATGTCGCTTATGCTTAACTTTCCGCTTGAACGCGGGTATATGGTGATTATTCAGAAGACCTTCTCCGGTCTCGGTACCGCGGTAATCATGGCTTACTTCAACGCTTGGTTCTACAAAAGTAGTGGTACATCATTCAGTTCTTATGCTTACTTTCTTGCGGCCCAATTTGCATTGTGTGCGTTTGCGGGATTTATTACGATTGACTTGCCGCCCTACTACATGTGCGATTACACGAAAAGACGTATATCCGAAGAAGAGAAGGCGGAGCGCGAGGAGACCCGAAAGTACTATATGACTCAACACGCGCCAAAGCGGCGCTTACTAGTAGGATGCATGCTGACCATTCTGTTGTTGATCTTTGCGGTAATCAGTTCTATTATATTGAAAATTGTTGATGTCACTCAAAGTGAACGCTATGTCATTGGGTTTGTTGCGCTTTTTCTGGTTTCTCTCTTCACGATCATGGCGTTTCCATTCCAAATATTAGGCCGCTACACCCGAATCCAAAAAGCGCATCCCAAGTTTCCGGGTTTAGGTCTCCCCTATGATGACAATCGACAGGGAACCAAAAGCGTGCGGGGCACTGAGCCAGATGAGATCTGCAACGAAAGGATGCCGTATTCCAATTCCCATGAACAGCATCACACTGAGATGAATTCAGATCTATCGCCTGGGAAAGACAAAAATAGAAGTACTGAGACCGGTTGCCTAGAATACTTACAGAGCACGCCATTGGGAGACTCGGCTGAAGAGAAGAAGGCGTCTACACAATTAGGTGATCCACAAATTCATGGAAGTTTCTGGAGCCATCTGTTGACTCCGGAATTATGGCTTCTGTGGGTAACCTTCTTCGGTGTATGGGGAACAGCCACTGTGATGATCATGAATGCCGCGCAGCTCTATCGCAGCATTAACATGGGTGCGATTTCCAACGTAAGACTCAGTCTGTACATCACGGTCATCAGCCTTGGAAGTGCGATTGGGAGGCTTACAAGCGGCCTGATTGATATGTGGCTAATTAACAAACGTCTGGAAGGGCAGACAACCATGTTGATCACTACGTTTTTTCCATTGTCTGCCCTCTTCTTAACACTCGGCTACTTCCTTTTTTCAGTTGTTGGCGTCGATTTTCTCATTTTGCCCTTTTTATTGGTTTCGGTGGGTAACGGAATGGGGTGGGGTATGGGCAGCCTTACAGTTCGTGTAATCTATGCTGAAGATATTGGTAAGCACTACAACTTTATGTTCTTTTCAGGCTTTGTCTGTACGATCGCGCTTAATCTATTTATGTTCGGAGGTTTATACGACAGTAAGGCCAGAAAGTACGGTACCTCACCGGCCTGCAACCATCCAGACTGCGTGCGTCCCCAAATGTGGATTCTCATGGCCGTAAATCTCGTGTCATTGATGACTTCTCTAATTTTACATTTCCGTTTCAGAGGGTTTGTACAACGTGAACTCTTGAAACGAAAGGAAGAGGCCTAACAGGGTGTGTGCGGGGAGTATGAAGAAGGTGTCCATACTTTTTTTTGTGCGCCTGATTGTATCATTTGAAATAGGAATAATCTGTATAATTAAAAGTATAAATTTGTCCAAGATTGTAAAATAATTAAATAATAGCGTATTCATAAGAAATATATCGGCCCATGTGGTAATTATTTTATAAAGGTATTACCGATATTTCACTAAAAAACACCAAGTTAAAAGTATGACAAAGCTGGAAATCGGGAAAAGATACCATTAAAGTTAAAGTTATTTACAAGCGCATACACACGAAGGTTGCGCATCTTTTTATACGCTAGTGGTGTAGAATTCTAAATGAGAATCTTACAAAGTATATCTCATTTAAGACTCTAAATTAATTTATTAGCTTAAATATGCTTTATCATCTAGATGTATTGGTGGTCTTAACTATTACAAATCTAGTGGAATTGTTTATTGGTGGTTGTTTTTTTACTGTGTCTTTTCAAACTTATAAATATAATATGCAAATATTGAAAATTCCTTTACACTTTCTGGATATTAGATACACCTAATCATTTAATTGATTTATTATTAATTATTTTAGTTATTTTATAGCCCTTCGATCAATAAACTAATAATAATAGATATTTCTAGACTGAAGAAGTCAGAATATTTTAATGAGCATCTCCTTTCTATTATGTAATATCACAGATATTTACATTGCCTCATAAAGCTGCGAAAATATCCTATACTTTTTTTTTACAATATTACGTGAAATTTAGTTTATTATGAGCGCACTCGTAAAAAACTAATAAATTTTTTTTACACCTTACAATCGGAGAGAATTTCTTAAATTTGGTAAATATATTCGACAAACACAACACTTCACACCTGTACTTCACAGTTCTTACTGTTCAAGATTAACGATTAGTAAAAGGGGTTTAACCAAGAAAAAGTGTTACATTGGTAAGATAGCTTTTATCTTTTTTAAAAACTTATTTCGCTATGTGATTTCATAAAAATAGATTAAATGAAAAAGGTGAAAAAAAATCAAGAATCAGCGATCCTGTGATCAGGTGGTATCAATGTTTTTATTTGCACTTCTCCTAACAAATTTAACATACTTATTCTGCTTGTTAAATGTCTATGTGTTTGTCTTTCATCCTAGATTTTCTTGCCCCTCAGATTCTCTTCCTAAACGGGGAGAAAGGCCATTTGAAAAAGTGCAGCGTAAGAAATCGGACATGTGTGGGATTTTATTTTCTTTAAAGCAGCGCTTCTACAGGAAAGAATCTTCTTTGGAGTTCAAACATGACACCAATGCAGCTACGTTAATGACAGAGGCAGTGCACGAATTAGTTTTGTCACCTACAAAGGGTGTTACCACTTTAATAACTTCCTGCTCACACGAGCTTCATAAATGCGAAGATCTGAAAAATGGGATTCCGCTTGATAATGAAAATATGTATGAAGTGCGACCATGCCGATCTTCAGAAGAACTGTGGACCTCGGCGTTGCCATGTGGTTCTGGCCCATACAAACCGACCGCCGGAGGTGTCCCTCACTTGACCCTATCATCATCTAATTTAAAGCCATTCGACCGCATCGTAGAGAACATCCGTCGACGTGGCCCAGACAACTTTGGGGTCACGAAACCTGATTTCCCCGATGTGCTTCTGGACGTAAATCAAACTTCATCGACAGCTCCGATGCCAAAAGGTGTGTTAAATAACAATGGTGCGGTACTTATGCAAACCAAGCTTGAGGGTGTGGCTTCAGTCTTAGGGCTTCGCGGTCGCACCATAATACGACAACCCTACGAGATAGAGGCTGATCCGGATCAGGAAAACGACGGTTCTGTTTCTCCTAACAAATCGTTTTTGTTGATGAATGGTGAAATTTTTAATGGGTCCATGCATCCACCGCCATGGGGCTCTGACACCATCGTCCTGGCCAACCGGCTTTCACAACTAGAGCAGGAGTACACGTCAAGGAAGAGCTTCGACTCCGTACAGAACCTCTCCCTTGCGCAGCGCCAGAGACAGTTCCTTACGCGCTGCGTTGATGTTATCGAGAGCGAGGTTCAGGGACAATACAGCTTTGCCTTTTACGCACATCAGCTGCAGATGATAGTTTTCGGCCGTGATCCACTTGGAAGAGTTTCACTGCTTCTCCATTTTTCCGTTCATACTGCATCTTCACCGCCAATAAGCACCCCAAACGGGGGACTTAATGACGACAATGACCCCACCCGCGGTACTTTTCTGATGGGAACAGAACTTTTGGTGTCTTCTGTGGGAGCTCAGCACACACCCTTGCACAGTGTCGACGCTGTTAAATCTAATAACTTTCAGTCTGGTGTCCAGGGAAAGGGGAGCTATTCCGTTGAAAAGCGGAAAAGAGATGTGGATCGAAGTAATACATCAGATGATGATGATGAAGAGCATTTCAAAGAATCGCGCACAACTCAGTCGGTGGTGGTAAACTGTGATATCACACATTGTTGGACAGAAGTGCCAGTCACAGGGTTGCTGGGCTTGCCACTAGACAAACCGTTTCTTCCATTATCATCCTGGGTAAACCGTCGAACAATGACTGAGCATGACGAGGATACCTTGGATACATTGCAGGCTCAGTTCATGCATTCCCCCTGGCGGGATGTGTACCATTTTGTACATCCACTTCTTCGAGCGCAGGTTGCCGCTGAGGCAGCTGGCGCAAACAATTTCAGTGCGTCATCGATGGTTCCTATTTTTCCAAAGAATAATTATTTCCACTATCTAAATGGTGAGAACAGCAAGATGCTCTTGGATATGCTGCTTCCATTACCTCCGCTTCTGGCCGAGCGTGTGGCGTCCTCATCGCCGAAGTCGGATTCCAATGACGATGTGTGGGCTCACCGTGCGGCTATTCTCTATCTGCACTCACTCACATCTGCTGTGATGCGTCGTACACATGTCGCATGTTCTGGTGCGGAGGATGGCCGAAATCCACAAAAACTCGCCGCTGCCTTGCGGCGGCCCCTGTGCATTTTGTTTTCTGGTGGCATCGACTCTGCAATGCTGGCAGCACTTGCACATTTTACTCTTCCTATTGAAACCCCGATTGAGCTTGTGAATGTCACCTTTGGTGAGCATTCAGAACAGGCACCAGATCGCGTGACAGCGCTGCAAGCTGTGGAGGAGCTGCTAAGACTTCCGCAGGGAGAGCCGCACGGTTCATCTTTTGGCGGTACGGTCTCTGAGAGAGAGTGGCGGCTAGTGTTCGTGGACGTCCCTAGTAAGTATTCGGCAGAGACACCCCACCTTTTAGATCTTGTGATGCCCCAGCATACGGTGATGGATATGGATATCGGCACAGCGTTCTGGCATGCTTCTCGTGCTAAGGGTCGCATGCAGAGGCTGTACCACAATGACATTGAGTCACAGTTGACAACGGACGCTGCTGCGTGTTTAAATGAAAAAGTGAGTCCACATAGAAGTACAAACGGTCTTGAAAACTATTCTAAGCACTTTCGCGTCTTACCAGGTGCGTCGTTTTCAAAGAGTCAAGTTGGGCCGGCTTCGGATCGTCTTCCTATAGGACTTGAATCGGAGCCTTTATCCACACCCTTTGCTGCGAACAGTGCATCGAACGACACCGATGGGCGCTTCGATATCCTTGTGGAGGTCCTGGTTACGGAAGGGCGCCAGCGCGGCGGGTCTAATTTTCCCGTACTGCTATCCGTCCTTGGTAAGGAATACAGACAATTTCTGCACGAGCACCTCTCAAAACTTGGATACAAGAAGTTGGGATCTTTTCTTAGCGATGCAGCTCGTGCAGGGGTCATTCGCTTTGTTCAGAATGAGCCCTCCAAGGCGGTGGTTTTGGTCAGAGAAGAAGACCGGCAGCGCGCCTCCGAGAGACCACCACAGAGGTGGTTTCAGACTAATCGTATGAAGATACAACAAGGTTGCTTGCAGGATCCTCTTCCACCCGAGGGTACGTATGAGCTTGAGTATAACTCGACCGCCAAGGTGATTCTTCTTGGGACCGGCGCCGACGAGACGCTTGGTGGCTATACGCGATACCGTCGTTTATACAACCGCGAGGGCATTAATGGCGCGCGGCGTGAATTAGAAGAGGACTTCTCGCGCTTTTGGAAACGGAATCTAGGGCGGGACGATCGTATTACAATGGATAATGGCCGCGAGCCAAGGTTTCCCTACCTTGATGAGGAAGTCCTGCGTATGCTTGAGCACATTGTTTGGGGAAGACGTAGCCAGCTACTACAGGAACGTCAGGCCAACCTCAAACAGCAAGAGACTATCGACGCTGGTGCTGCCACTGTACCTCTTCATCCCGCAGCCGATGATGATCAGCTTTTACAGGCCAGCATTGCTCCCGTCATGAGCCTTGAGCTCGGTGCGGGTGAGGGGGATAAACGTGTGCTCCGCCATGCAGCAGCTATTGTAGGTCTTCAGAAAGTGGCATGCCTCCAGAAACGGGCTATCCAATTTGGCTCGCGTATTGCGGAACGACGAATACATGGATCTAAAGAGTTACACTCAACTATGGGAATACCAAATTCTGCTTCCTGATAATAATTAAAATGATATTTTCACACCTCTCGAACATAATATTTGCTTCTCCCTCTGCTTCCCCTTTATTACAGCAAAAAAAAAAACTATGGGGTGATCGTGTTTCCAATGATAAAGGGGTGAGGGATAAACAAATATTAAAATAATGACACCAACAAGAAAAGAGTCGAAACTGTACTCTATAAATCGACGGCGCGTTTTTGTTTATTCAACGTGTAATCTAAAGGTGAAGATTTGCTGAGGGGGCCTCTATCAATCTTCCTTTCTTCTTCTGTCATTATATTTTATCAGTACCTCTAATAATTAATGTTATTATTATTGTCATGATATTATTGCAGGGATACTTTTTTCCTTCAAGTTAACCTAATGTTTTTTTCTCGAAACAGTCTTCACGGACTTGCCTATTAGCATCATTGACGGCATCTTGTGTAGTGAAATTTCAATCCCTGCACATTGCTGCAGTCTGTTCATCATCCTGTAGTCTCAGTGTCATACGCCCGTCCCTTAACCACCGTGCTGTTGGGTATATGCGCTCTTTTTTGCCAATCACATTGCCATTGAATTGTGGTTACCACCACAGAACTCTTTTTATATCCATGCGAGGGATCGTGGAGCACTCGACTGATCCAAAAAAGTGGTATAACAAGGAAAATTCCGAGATTAAGAAACAATACCGCTGTGGCATCCCTCTTGGAAGTGAGGAGGTCCGGCGGCGAGAAATGGAAAAGCGCTTAGCGGATGAAGAATTTGTCAATTGGAACCATGTTATCTATACAGGCATCGCTATGGGGCTGTTGTTAATTGGGCTCAACTTAATTGTAGAGTTCGCTGAACCTATTCCATCCCCTGAATATGTTCCGTATGAATACCCTAAAAAGGAATAAACCACTATCCACAACAGGGATGTCGATACCATCGCAAGGAGCGATAAAGGAAAATTGTGGAGCTGAAGAACGAATTCTTTACATCTTTCTAATGGATCCGCTAATGTTTTAGGTAACAAGAGGGTATATCTATCCGTTTATCCCCCACACAAAATAGTACTTCACCTCACCGTATGACCAATTTCTACTTGAAAGACTGGGTGGGTGAGGGAGAAGCTAGCTCTTCCACTTATTTTTATTGAATGTTTGGGGTCCCCAGTGTGTATATCATCGTGACAATATTCGTGGTGAACCAAAAAAATAGCCACTCTTTTTCTTTGTGCGAATGATACTTCTCCATTGGAGGCGCTAAAGATATTGGAGTTTATGTACACCTAAACATTTTTCTCAAACATTTAGCTCAACTATTTAGTATAAAGGCTTAATTTACATTTAGTTAAAAAAAAAATAAGTCACATATAAACATTAGTGAATAATCATAAAAGTTTCTATTTTACATGACGAGGAATCAAAACCCATCGCGGGATGATCAAAAGCCACTTTCTCCTGAAGCACGGGCTGCGTTAGAACAAAGATTAACTGAACTCCGAGCACACGAATCTCAGAGGAGGGAAACTAGACATCAAACCGACGCTTCTGTTACTATGGGTGTTCCATCTGTGGGAGCAGAAGATCCCTCAGCTTATTACAACAGTGACCATGTAGCCGGTGGTGATGATTCTAACGACAGGGAAGATGAATCCTTTATGAACTTTATTGAGGATACGTTTCTCAATGGTGGCATTTCGTCACAAAGAAATGCGTCTACGCTAAGTCCTCAGCAAATGCAATGTACGCCAGGCGCCACCACACAGAGTCATCATTCTAGTGGAACAAAATGCTTTCTCTCACAAATGCGAGCTTTCAGAGATTTTGAAGTGCTTTGGTTTGTGAAGTTTGGTGACATCACTTCCTTTCAGGATCAGTGTGCGAATCTGTCCATAGACATCAAAACCTTTTGCGACAATCAAAATCGTAACGCGTTGCACTACGCGGCGGATAATGGCAGTCTTTCCATCCTGGAACTGCTTGCAACCCTTGGTGTGCCGTACCTACGAAGTGAAAAAGGGATGACACCGATGGATGTTGCGATTCTCACAAATCAATCCAGTAAGTTCAAATCTTTGTTGGCTAAATTAGCGCAAGGTAGCAACCTGTCTCAAGAAGGCAATTCAGTGAAGGAAGATGAAAGAAAAACTTTTGAAGATGTGCGAAAAAAATTTGCACCAGAGCCACCAAAATTTGTCATCAGTCGCCGTCCGCCCACACCTGCTGTCTTCAAACAAAATGTATGCGAGCGATCCTTCTGGAAGTGCCAGCTCGCGAAGGGAAATGGAAAAGATGCTGCAGTTCTCAATTTAGGCGCTATCACAAAGTCACTAGATGCCGAGAGTGGGATTCATGTAGTGATTAGTGACTCCAACAACGGCGATTTAGCTGCAGGCGTTCGCGTTGTAAACCGTCTTTATACAGGATGGGGGATCTCCCGTTTCCTGAGACCGCTAGATCACGTGGTGAAGAATGAGAAAGAAAAAGGTATAGGCTGTAGTGCATCGAACAAGTTCGTTATCCTGACCGCTATCCCGACAGGCGATACTATGGACAAGAATTCCGCATCTGACCTGCCCGTGGGTGTGATAGCGAGCAGGCTCCTGCATGGTGGCCTTGAAGGTGTTGGCGCTGCCACAGATGTGTCAAGGAGCGGAGGGAAGTCTTCATTTGCCATTGTAGGTCATCTTGCTGTCGACGTGGAACATCAAGGGAAACAGGTGTCGTCTATGCTAATGAAGAGTTTGGGGAATGATTTGTTGGTGCAACACGGCTGCACAGCATTAGCCTTTACCATGCAAACCCTTATTCCACAGTTACCGCCTTCGATCAGTATGGTCAAGTGGTATAGGCGCGTACTCAATGCCAACACAGTCTTCGAGGGCCCGTACGCAGAAGACATCTTTCCAGAATTCTACGATGAGGACGAAGTGCTACGAGCGGACTGTGTGCTTAAGGGTACGCTTGATCCAATGCTCCGGAATACCTATGCGGAATCCGTCTCAGATTGGCGTTTCGTTGATGGCACGGATAAGAACCAGTCGCAGGGTGTATTTGACTTCCTACATAACCGCGGCAAAGAGGGGTTGGAGCTGGTGTGGAAATGGCAGTCCGAAGAGGATCTCTGTTCTGCTTTTTTTCCACCTGATGGCCAAAATCGTATCAAGACATTGGTGCGGATATCAGGGAATAAGAATGTGCCGGAGGACTTTATTGTGTTCCGCTTGCGCCAGATGCGGCATCAGAGAAGTCGAATACCAGATTTCTCAGCGGAAACAAACGTGGAGGAGGGTGTGTCGGGGGGCCAGGACTCAATAGTCGTCGTACAGGTGGTGTACGCTCACTTTACAGTACTCAAGGGTGTAGAAAAGATGTCGCACATCCTTCTTATAGCTCAGGATTTGCTTCAGGCGAATGTTGTGCTGGTGCCTAATCTATTCGGTTTCACAGAGAGTGATCTCGTCAAAAGCAATTTTGATGAAGTAACGATATGGCGTGAGATGCTTTACGTTTTGAGGAAAGATGAAAGGGAAAATAATCAGGGGTCGGAGCCCGCGGCAAGATTTCTACCACCAATCCAAGCGTCAAAGATATCCCTTCCTATTTTTCTACTTTAGTGAATGTCATTAGTAGCTGAACAAAAAAAGTAGTAATGAAGGGATGGAAAGGATATGAAATTTAACAGAAAATGCATTATATACATATATACATATATATATATATATGTGTATATTTATTTACTGGATATTCAACACAATCAAGCGTTCAAAAAGCAATAAATCGCTTCCTTTTGTCTTAAAAGCAGCACTAAATTAAGAATTTTAATTTGCATCATAAACGAATCTCACACACAAAAAGGGATGCATTACACAGTTACTCGTAATTATCTTCTTCGCTTGTAGCCTCATATGAAGATAGTTTGAATGAGATAAAAGCGGTATGCACAGGCTAAACGTATTACCTTCAGCGTGTTTTCGTCTGCCATCTCTGTGCATATTTGTTTATTTTGTCTTTTCTAGAGAAGATAACTTAAGTAATGTCTTGAAAAGAGATGTATGCAAGATACTTTAGTGATACCTTTTTGGTTGTTTCACTGAAGTGTATATATACATACACATATATATATATATGCATATGTATATATGTATGTATACAGGTGCATATATGTGAAAATTTTTCCATAGTTTATATTGTTGTTTGGTTGAAAACTATTAAAAAGGTCTTTGTAACAGATGTCAGAATCATACCAGCTAACACGAACAAACATGGTCCCGTCAATGTAGTAAAAAGTTCAAGAAGTCACCTCACCCTTCACTTTCATTTTCTATTTATTGAATACATTTTATATTTGAGAGTTTTTCGTATGTATGGATGTTAGTTTCCTCCTAAAGTTGAATTGTGTTTCTTATCTTCTAAAAACAAATTTACAAAGCGCACGACACACACTCACACACACACGTAAAAAAAACCCTAGGCAGAGCGTCTTTGCATAAAGATAAGGTTCTACGCCTGCAGTGGGGTTATGCGTCAAACCCATTTTCTTATTTTCTATTTTGTAGGCACGGGGACCTTTACGCACTCTAATTTATTACCTAACTTCTTTCGTAAACAACCTACCCCACGCGTTGCTACATTGGAGGGCAACGATTCGAACTACTTCTATAGTGTCAAGTGCAAAGCTAATCATGACACCAATTCACACTGGGAAGGAGGGGTAAAAGGCACTAGATGTGCCGTTAGGCTTGAGGCCAACCCTGCAGAATATTCGTCGCTCTTTGAATTTGCACCCCTCCGTTTATTTAGTTTTCCTTCTGTTCAATTCAGCAACAGTGGAGCTCGGAAACGAATGTCAAATTTCTTGTGCCGAAACATTACGATTTCAACAAATTCTGCAGCCATCTTTACTACGCATCGCTGGCAGAGCGTCAATAACGAGCCATGCGGTGAAGCTGATGCGTCTCCGATGGATGCATCGAGTAATGACGCTTCTGCTGCGGTAGCACCGGCATCTAATCAAGAAGTGGACTGCTATGATGTGGAACAGCACATAGCCGATGCGGAAGTCTTGCTACGCGAGGTATATGGCCCCCATGCTAAGTTAGTGGTTCAGACACTTGCACAGCAGCACGAGAAGCATCACAACCGCCAAGGGCACTCCATCACTGATCAAAGCGTCATGTCAAGGACAGGCCACGAGACGGGCGTGGACGTCAGCCGTGGTGACTCTTCCAAGGATTTGGTGTCTGAATCATTGTATCACTATTCCAAACAATCTGTTACCCACACAAGAAAAAACAATAATCACTGCTATCGTGTCTCAGCAGCCTTCCGACAACTTGGGTTTCCCGTGGAGCTAGCGACTACCAAGGGCCACAAAATCCAAGAAGTGATTGAGAAGTGTCTAACACAAGCACTTAACAGTGATTTAGTGTTTATTCAACCAAGTTCCCACAACCATAACGTATATTCTTCACGCAACAACACGTACTTACCTTCGAAAAATTCCACACAAGAACCGAAGGGGCATCCTCACTCACAGGGCCGTCAAACCCGCAAACACGGTGGCAAGCGGAGACACACAATGAATCCACATCAGCTCGAGCTCAAGGCCATTCTGGACGAGCTACGTCATTTATGCCTTTTTTTTAGTCGAAATCTAAAATTTTCCATTAGGCCGTCCCTGTTGACGACAGCTCAATCTTCGCCGCCGCAAGCAGCATCAGATCAGGAAGAGGAGGACATGGAGAGCGACAATGTTACAACTGCGGACCGATGGCGGTGCCGGGCCTATGTCAAAAATGATTGGAGTGCTGTTAACCGCACAATTCTGGCGCTCGAAACGATAAGCAGTTTACCTAGTGAAGCTTTTTCACAGTGTGTGGCTGAGCTACGCAGGCGATATAAGGAAGAGATGAATTCGGATGATGTGATGCTGGAGAGCGTGCGCGAGGTTGAGCTGTTGGAGCCGCCGGGCTGGTGTGTGGATGCCAGATGTATGCAAGAGGTGGACAGGACAGGGGACACCACAGACAGTAAAAGGGTTGTGGTGACAAGCGTACACGACACGACTGCAGAGATCTCAGACGAAAGGAGGGTCGATGACGCTACTAGTGCAGAACCAGATGAGGGGTTCGACAGGTTTGTGCACACCTACTGCGCCTATGTCAATATGGAAGACGAGTATGGTAATGTGACCATGACGCAGACGCGTCGCCAGCCAACACAGATTCAAGCGTACCAAAACGCAGCATTACATGCTATCCGTTCGAGAAGTCTGTGGGGACGTAGGGCACACTTGTTAAGTGAAAGCTTGTCATCAACCCCACTGCTGGTACGAATGCGCTGGCAATTTGACGCCATGGTGACAGCAATCGCAGATTTCACTGGAAAGCAGCCACATGAAGTGGCCGAAATACGCGTCGAAGGGATCGGCAACTCAGCGTCAAACCAATCAACACAGAATAACATTGTTTTGCTATCGTCCTCTGAATTGGCTGTGCATAATTTTTCGTCAGCATCTTCACCTAATCTGTGTTTTAAGACATCCTTTTCATGCGATGGGGCGCTTGTATGGGAGTCAACAAGTGGTGGACGGTATCGTATCGAGTTTGACGCTTACGTTCAGGCTCTGCACTACCTTCTTGATCAGTATGGAGACCTTATTGCCACATGGACACGCAAGGGCACGTCTGATGGTCTCAAGTACCATTTTTATGAAGACAGCTACAGTAGTGACGCAGGGCTTCTCCGCATGGGCGACACATCTATTCTGTTTCCGTCGTCTACTATGCTTCAGCTCGCAGTCGAGCTCCATGATCGCTTTAATATTCTAAAGAATCACAGCGGCAAGTGGAACTGCTATGCCCTATTGGGAACCCTCACATCGCGGCTTATCGGGTGCTACTATAAATCCTCTTACTCGTTCAATGAAGAGACCAAGGAGTGGTGGTCAACGTTGACAGTAGACGACGGGTTAAGGGTTGACCAAATTCTTATTCAGCGTTCCTCTAAACTGAAAGGTGAGTCCTGGCGGCTTGCTTGCTTGGCCGCCCTGCGCGAGAACTTTCCGCGGCAATATGAGGAAGTAATACGACGCTATCCGGATGTCAATCTCTCGGGTGATACCATGGCTCGTAGCTCTCGGTTCCGCGCGCTGCCGCGTGAGAAGCGTATTCAGCACATTGGAAATATTTTCTCCTTGGTGACAACCTTCGCAGAGGAGGACCTTGGGTGGACTCAACTGCGAATCCGACTGCGAAACGCATCGGGGGATATCGGCCTTCCCCAGTGGATTGCCGAAATGGAGGCGCAGGTGGAAGGTGAAGAGGGTCGACGCGTGGTTGCAGTATCCCCGTCCTACGCACAGGTTCGGCACGCCCGCCGCGCTCTTATATATCGTGTGGCGAAGGCCTACTTCCCTAAGGAACTGGCCGTTTATCAGAAACTACAGCGGGACGATTCTCAGGACCCCGATGCAGACCCTACGGTACGTCGTACAAAGATATACCAAGTTGGCGGGCCACCCTTTCTATGGCAGCTGTGCACGCTGCTGGGGAGCAAGCATCCAAGCCTGGAGCCCATCACGTGGCAGATTCGACTGCGCCCTCGCGTACAAAACTCTAACGTGGCCTCTGAAGAATCAACAGATAGTGTGGGGTCGCAGCATAACGACGTTAACACGAATGATGGTAGATCACTTTTGCACCCACCAAGTAATGAGGAGGTTGGGGAATGGCTAAGTGTGTTGAGCGAGGGTAGTCCTCTGGCATTACTAGAGATCTTGTCATCTCCAGATCAGCTACACCAGCCGCTTGGTGCTTACCTCACTTATGCCGCCGATGTGTTTGGTGCGAATGGTGATGTTCTTATTACTGAATATCATGGTGGGCCTAGCGAAAGCGCTGTAAATGTTTTGATAGCAGCCCTCAAGGCAGCATCAAAACAGTTGGGCGGCGCAGACGCGGAGGTGCTGTGGACAGAGTATGAGACACTTCCATGCCCCTCCATGAACCACCCGAAGGAGCTGACGTTGTATCTATTTTACACCTTTTTCGGAGACAGTGGGGCAGCATGGAGTTCAACAGATGACACGCATCCGGTGACAGCATGGAAGTCTAATGGTGCAATAGTCAAGCCGGATCCCGATCAAAGTTCCGGTCTACAGACTGAATCGAGCAGCGACAATGAGCAGCCGACACCAATGCCAGCTACTCGAGGAGGGGATTCCTGCGAAGCAACGCCGGCAATTACCAATGCCTCTACACTCGCCATCAACACGGTTCAACTGGGAAATTATTGGGTGTCAACGGTGTGCTTGAGGGAGTTAGGCATGTTGCCTATCGCGCGTGCCATAGCCGCCACTAAGCGGGGTAGCGTTATGGACGCTATAACGCTGGCTGCCCGACTCAGTTTTTCCCGCCTTCTGCATGAAATGGCGAAACGTCAACCAGCCTTGTCGGCATTGGCAACTGAACTACTAAGTGATCCTATTGTAGAAAATTTGCCAGAAGTTGCGGTACGCAATTTGTTGTCGCAGATGGATTACCAAAGGTATGCTGGCCAGTTGAGGTTGTCGCCGTTCAAACTCCTCTTGAGGTGCATGTACCGAGACTACAGACGGCGGAAACGAATTCGTGCTCAGCAGTCCCAAGAGGCAGGTGGAGGGAGTTTTCAGTGCCGCCTTTATCTACAGGCTGACACACGGGAAGTAACGAAGGGGGGTGCGCAGCTTGTGGGGTTCGGTTCTGCACTAAGTTCTGGGGAGGCGTTGAATCTGGCCTCGCTCATGGCCTTGAAGAACCTTTTCTCAGAGGACGCCACTGCATTGTTGGGAACTGTAGGGTATTAGGTTCTGAAAAGGTGTATTGCAATCCCTGCAAATTTAATATGAATTACTGATTTACTATATCTTATGATTCTACACTTGTATTTTTTCTTACACACAAATGTCACTACCATTAACGCTTTTTTTTCTTTTTTTTTTTACCTCTTAAAATAGCTGCTGACATGCAAAAGTGAACTAATTTTCTCACATTTCGTCCTTGATCGTGAATGCTGGTGTTTTCTGCTAATTCACCACCATCACGTTGAAAAAATAACGATAGAAACACCACAAAAGTCACAAATATTTTTTTTCCCTAACATTTTAATCCCTGGAAGCAAAAAGTGTATATATTCACGCACCTGTATATGCAAAAGTTGGACAATGGATGACATTGCTTTTCCTCGATGGGTGCTCACCTCCCCTGTCTTTGCATTTGCCTCAGCACTGTCACGTTGCATTATTAGGGAAACTCATCTGAAAATTAATCCCTCTCAGAATTCACCCTCACAATTCACACGATATCGAGATGACTTTGGTGAATCTTGTCGGGATCGTGAAGCAAATTTAGCAAACACGATGGTGTGCCCTAAGGACACTGCAGCCAAAATGATGAGGCAATCAACTGTAGAGAGGGATGACAGCGATCTCTCGTGTATGCTTTCTACTTCGTCTTTTGTTGATTCCGGCACGTTAAGAGAGCGGTGGGCGAAGTTTGTGAACCGGACAAACTTCTCGGATCATTTCATACGCGATGGAAGGGAACTGAGCGAGACGGCCCTAAGCGAAGCTCCACCGCATGATCCAGTGGACGCACGTCCCACAGTACCTAGAGTCACGTTGCTGGGTGCGAATCATGCAAGTGGTGCTTTTACTAATCTCACTAACGATGCAGGTATCCTGCAAGATTCACGTGTGCAGCGTTTGATGAAGCTGTCTTGCTTGAGTAAGTTCGTGCAGTGCGAACTACATACCAAGGCAGTGAGAATATCAGCTAAGCACGCGGCTGCAATCACAGCACTAATGGCATTCGCAGTCGAATGCCGACACCGGGCTAGTACCGTTTCTGCGGGTTTGTGTTTGGAGTGCAGCTTCTTGTTCAGTAGTTTCGTGAGTCGACTAAGAGATTACAGCTTTTGTGAAGGCGTAGACATTAAAGGCTTCGTGGCCGCTATTATCGCATGTGGACTTTGCCTACGGAATGAAGATTTGCTTATCTACAGAAGCTCAGTTAACTGCAAAAAATGGGAGTCTTTGGAGGACAGCGACAGAGATGGTAGGTTGTTTGGGTTCGACCCCCGTATCATTGACAACGCAATCTTGACGTGTATCTCAGGTACTATCGATGGAGGCGTCAGCAATCCGATCATGTTGGGTGCGCTTCAAGGCCTTGCTTTTACTCACTCTCGTATCCCACGATATCTCAGCCCTTCTCTAGTTGATCGATTACTTCAACTAACAAATGAGTTTGTACAAACGCCACATCGTCGTGACCTGTCTTACAAGAGGTTCCTCTCATGTTTGTTAGAGGCCATGGCTGGTTCCAGAGTCATCGACCACAGGCACATCCACGGCTGGGCCACCGCAACGATCCAAAGAACGTACATCCTACGTAGCCTTTTTCAGAGAGAAAATTTACATGCTAGGGTGGTTGCCGCTGTGTTGACACTCCTTGTTCGACAATATCAAGAGAAAGTAATGGAATACCTCAGCGTGGGCGGCAGGAAGGGGGATCTGCCAGAATTCAAGGAAGAGAACAAGGCCATCGGTTTAGTGTGGGAAACACTTCAGGAGGCCATGACCGCGTGGAAGGAAATATGTACTAGGCCGGCTACATTGTATGGTACAAATTTGCGCGTCCTGATAGAAAGCTTACTGCGCATAGATTTGGAACGGCTGCGATGTGTCCATCTCCTGAAGGAGGCCCTAGCACCGAAAATAGCTCCCGTGTTGACCCGTGAGTCGTCCAGTGCGAGTGTTGAAACTGAAAGACCGAAGAAGCTGAGTGCTGATCCAAAAATAGAGCAAGTTTCATCACCTGTACTACACAGTTCGGATGCTATGCTTAACCATCTGAAAGCAAGGGACTACACACCGTATAATCCCTCTGACGACGAAGAGCAGCTTCGGGTTTGCATTCTTTCCAACATTTTGAGGTTCCTTTTACTACCAACAAGTATCATGAATGCAATTCACAAAGATAACACACAGATGCATCAGCTGCGCTGCTATTTGTTAGGGCAGTGCACTAGCGTGATGGCCATTGTATCCTCTGGGGTGCCCATCACAAGGATTACCACCAACTATGAGCATGGGAACAGCGAGTTGCACTATCCCTTGACTGAAAATGGAAGATCCACAGATGAATATGGTTATTGCTGCTTCGAGACAAGGCATGGCGCATGGGCGGCTCCGGCGCGGTTTAGCTCGCAGAAACGAAATGTTCAGTTGTCTAACTGGTACTACCACAAAGTAGCCGTCATTACCCGTGAGCTAACGCGGATAGTGACTTGCGTAAGTGGCGAACCCTCCTCCAGTAGCAATCCAAACACCTCCGGCGCATTCGGTCGACCACTTGGGACTAAGGACACCGATACGATTGAAGCTGCCGCAGCATGTCTGCAGTGCATGTGTTCTAATGAGTCCACCATCTGCTCCTTCGTGCTTTCCGAGGTCATAGATGCAATATTGCAGGTGCTGTTAGATAAAAAAGACACTAGCGAGAATAATCAAACATATTCAGAGAACGCGAAGCAGACGGCCCACCGACTTACACTCTGCTTCGACACACTGACTAGTATTGTGGTTCCTATGCACTATTCTTTCACTCATCTGTTCCAGCGCGGTGATCTGGCGCGCTACGCTCAGCTGCTCTGCGATATCTATGAAGATTCCCTTCGCCAAGTCCTCGTAGCCAACCAGAAGAGAGAGACTGATCATGTTGGCAAGACAGACGCGCTGAAGTTTGATGAAGCTAAGGCGGCATCGAAAAGACTGATCAAGGACCTCCCTACCCCCATCATGACAGCAACAGCTGATGGGTTCTGGAAGCTAGTAGTTCGCCTGAGTGAACGACAGCACGTTATCGCGTGCGACGCAGCAAAACAACTCAACAATCACGACGGTGCAGAGGATGGGGATACTCGAACCCAAAGAGCACGTTATTTGAAGCTTCTTAACGAAGAAAGTGAAGACGTGGTGCTGCTCATTGAGGGAGCAATACGCTGTGTGCTCAACATAGCATGGCCGGGGTTGGGCATTCTCTATCAGCATCCACTACACGGCGCCAGTCTTGAGCCAAAGGGCATGGCAGAGCTTGCTCTGGTGTGCATCGGTCAGTTTCTCAAACCTCTTTGTTTGCTTTTTAACCTATCGGCGCTATTTCCGATTCGTTCGCTGAACGATGGTATTTTGGCACATGCTGAGAAAACGCGGTGCATCGCCACCGAGGATTATCGCGAGCAGCACATTCATTGGTATGTCTACTGCCCTACCAGGACGGAAGCCCTCATGTCGCAGCCCAACAAGGACAGCAAAGAAGGTGTCGAAGCCTCTACCGCAGCGAATTGTCAGGGTCTCCAAGTGCAGAGCCTATCTGAGTTCCGATCCTATTGGTTGCTCTTGACTTACTATGGCTTTACTTTCGATGCGCTTGCACTCACAAGGGCGCGACTGTGCAAAGGCGACCACACAAAGCCACAAGATATAGAAAAGAGGTGTTTCATTAATGAGGCGCAGGCACGACATATTCGACTGCTTGCGGTCTCAGCGGCCCCACTTCTGCAAATGCAATCCTCAGACATGCATCAGGCCATAGTCGACATCGACGTTTTGTTTCGCTATATGGGTAACAACTCAGGCTTTATCCACGACAATGTGCCTCGAAGTCGCCGTCAAGTTGGACATATTCTGCGCAACATGTGTGGCGGTAAGCGCTGTTGGAATAAATTGAAAGCAAGCGAACAGTTCCTGATGCACGCCTTAACAAATCTAGAGATGTTGCGTGCTTCATCTGGTTTCATCTCTAATTTAACCCTATACCATTTTTTTGATGCTTATGAATTTCTTGCTTTGCCAGCCATCCGTAGCAGGCTCCACCACATCGTGCTGGCCAGCTCTGAGATATACCTTAGCGCCCTGAGGACTTTCTTACCGAATGTTGCTTATCAGCTTGTATCTAAAGATATATACCAGCTGGTGCTTCTGCTGGGCTTTTCTTTGGCCTCTGTGAGAGAATCTGCGCGCATAATATTACGTATGATCATCGGGGCCTTTCCGGCCTATGCGACCTGTGGTTCAGGGCTCCAGCTGTTGTGGTCCATCATTAACTTGGTCGAGCGTGGCAGCGCTTCTGACATTGCAGATTTTTGCCGAAAAGTGAATCTCAACCTCACACCAGAAAATTTGACGGAGGTAAATAGCAACGATCGGCAAAGACATTTGCGCATGCTGCGTGCTGAGGCGAAATGGTGGATGTATGAGGCCACAGACAGGGCTGCTCTTGCGCTTTCCCATACATCCCTCAGATACATTGAGAGCGGAAATGTTCCGACAGGGTTCATGTTATCTATGGAAAAAATAGGTAACACCCACTTGGTGACACCAGTGTCTACTCAACAGGAGAATATGCCGAAAGGAGCCAACCGCTCCCAATACAGGTCGTTAGGTTTATCAAGCGGCATCAACTACCTTGCGATTGCCGAGGAAGACTTGCACAGTTACATCCAGGCGTTCATCAAGCATAATAGCGCGAAAGAGCTCGTGGCTTTCGCGTTGCGCATGTCACCGATTCACGTGGTCGAAACGGGAATTCTCGGGCAGCTCTGTGAGAAGATTCAGCACCGTCTGGGGTTGACAGCCACGAGCAACCTTCCAAAGGGCGCTAATGACGCAAAAGACATGGCACGCACGCGAAGAGGGGCGGCAAATCGGCTGCATGAACTCGATACTCTAATGTGTTTAGCCGTGGCGTCCATGACAACCGGCTTTCTAAGCCCGAGTGGGACGATCCAGTTCTTTCGTTACTTGGTACAAGGACCAATTGAGATCTTTGAAAGCGACATCCTTCACGCAGCGATTGGGTGTTGGAGACGTTTGCTTGCTAGCGACTGCAGCAATTTTGTTCTGCCGCTTCTCATCCAAATCACAAAAGGCGTGGCGTGGACCGTGAGTCGACAAAAAGGTCTCTTTGATGGGGTGCACCCGAGGCAAAGCGAGGAGGTGCAGACTGGTATATGCGCCGAGGCGTCCGCCATGGAGCATGCGCCGTATGCCCAAAGCTATAGTCGTAATTCCCCACACACACTTCTCTTTATTTTCTTGTCAAACACCTACCTGAACACAGAGTATCCATGGGCTCTTGATCGCTCAATTTTATTGACATTGTATCATCTGGCAACACGTATGGTCGAGTATCCATCGCGTATGTCTCTAAAGGGTTCCTCCTTTGCGGACACGATGCATGCGGCGGTGCTGGTCGGGAAAATCTGCCGCACCCTCCATGACGTGACTATCCAGGGCCAGAAAGAGGCCCTAGTTGGCATTATACCTTGTGAATCCATCGGGGTACTACGCCAGCGCTGGTATACTTCCCTGCTTCAGTGGTTCCAAGGGAGTCGACCATCCTGGTATTTCACTGACGACCCACCACAGGCTCTCGAGATGATGAAGGTGCTCGAGTCCCTTATCTGTCTCTTAGAGGAGGAGCACGCCCTCCTCACTCAGAGCACCAGTGGTTTCCTGAGCTTGGACACATCCGCCGCTCGTGCCAATTCCGACTCCACGGTTGATCTACCTGCTTTCTGCAGTAATCTCTGGGGTACGGCTCACGTTGCACGAGACCATATCGAGGCTTTACGTTTAAAGCTCGTCACCAAGCAGACATCCAAATTTGTGGAACAGGAGCAAGCGCGTTTACTGGACTTCCTGAAGCTACTGCAGGTCCTCATTTGTCATGAGCTCATTCGGCTGAGGGTGTGGCAGACGCCGCGGCGCACATTCCGCATCACGAACGCTTGCATAATTTCGGCAACGGGAGTAAAGCTAGCCCACGGCGTGGAATGGCCATGGGAGATGTTGGTCCAGATAGCAGCGCAGCACGAGCCCACTGTGCTTGTGGCCATGGTGGCGCGATTCCCCAGCTTCCTTCGCGTGCGTGCGCTCGCATCGCGGTATGTGGTGCAATCGCCGGAAAGATATGGTACCATCCCTGAGGCTGTTGATTTGTACATCACAAAGGAAACCTTGAACGCTGGGGCACCTGGGCTCCAGTATTTTGCCAACTGTAGTATCATTCAGGCGCTGCGTTACCTTGACAAACGCTACATGAACTACCCATCGGTAATCTCTTACGCAATCCGAAGCCTTTTTGCACAACAAAGCGATAACCTCATCTTTTACCTGCCCCAGATTCTACAAATTCTTGCATACGACGAAAGTGGCAGCATTCAGAAATTTCTTACACATATGTGCGACAAAAGCACCATCTTCAGTCATCAACTCCTGTGGGCGTTGCAGACAGAAGGGCATGGGGATAGCCTGTTGGCTACGATATGTAGGCGGCTAAGTCTGGCGGTTCAAAGTAGGTTCAACGAAACCGGACGCACCTTTTACCTAAATGAGTTTCGTTACATTAACCTGCTGACGTCCCTTTCAGGCGAGCTGGTAAAGTTCGGGAAGTCTCAACGCAAGCTGAACCTTCGACTTCGTTTGCAAGACACGACCTTTCACGATCCCTTTGTAAACCAACATTTGTACCTCCCCACTGACCCGACCTGGCGCATTGTGAAGGTTATTCCCGATACTGCAGTCGCACTGCAGAGTGCAGCCAAGTGCCCTATTCTCGTCCAGTTTCGCTGCATGCGGCGTGGGTTTGAAGACATGCAGCCCTCATGCGGACCATTGTGTACACAAGGAAGTCCCAGTCACGAACGACACCATGGGACTAACCACCCTGAGGGATCGGCAAGGGAGGGCGAGGGATCTGTGGTAAAGACATGCATTTTTAAGATGGGTGACGACTGCCGTCAGGATCAATTGTCTTATCAACTCATTTGCCTGATGAAGCGCATCTTGGACACGATGAATGTACCGTCGTTTCTGCATCCATACCGTGTCTTGACTACCGATCATGAGTGTGGCATTCTCGAATACGTGCCGCGAACTATGAGTCGGAATGACATAGGAAAGCTGGTTGAGTCAAACATTGCTGAATACTTCGTGCGCACTTTTGGTCACCCTGAATCGGTCAGTTTTAGCCGTGCACGTGATAATTTTCTGAAAAGCGTGGCATCCTATTCGGTAGTCTCGTACATCCTGAACATCAAGGACCGGCACAATGGTAACATTCTAATAGATGCCAAGGGCCATGTTGTGCACATCGACTTCGGTTTTCTGTTTGATTCTTCACCAGGTGGTGACATTAACTTTGAATCCTCACCTTTCAAGCTCACAACGGAGATGGTGCAGTTGATCGGTAAAGATGTCGGCTACAAATCCAACTTGCATAGTTCCTCACTTGCAAAAGCTCTTATTGACCCTGATCGATACGTTCTTTTTAAGGAACAAGTGATTCGATGCTATCTCGCTGTGCGTCAGTACAGCGCTGAAATATGCACCCTTGTCGAACTGATGCTCCATAGTGGTTTGCCCTGCTTCAAGCCCCAAAAAACGATTGCAGATCTGAAGCATCGGCTCGCGGTTAGCAAGTGCGAAATCGAGGCGGCGCACTTTATGCGCTGTCAGATCCACGAATCCCGTGAGAATTATCGCACAAGGTTATACGATGCTTATCAGCATTTTGTCGAAGGAATTGAAATGTAAAAAAGCAAGGGAGAAGGGAGAGGGGGATAATAGTTAAAAAATCTCACAGCGCCTGGGGTAAAGGTGCCTAGACCTGCCTCCTCCTCGCCCTTCCTGAACACTCTGAGCAAATAACAAAAAAGAAGTGGTGGAGGAAAAAATGGTTTGTATGTCAAGGATGTCTGGGGTTTAACAAATGGCAAAATTGCACAGTAACAATGTAAAAAACATATTTTTTTGTGAGGGAGGAATTCCTAAATTGCCAACTAAAGATTTCTAAATATATGCGCGATTTGGGTGCTGACGGAGGTACTTATGTGACCCCCCTCGCTCTCGTCTGCAACTGTATCATGTGTATGGATATACTTGAGGATACTTCGCTTACTGCTTTCTTGTAGCTCTCCCGCTAGGATGACCTCGTCGAGCAAAAAGAAGGAACGATGGAAGTTGTAAATCAAGTCCAACTCACAAACGTTCTCAAAGTATCTATCAAGTACTTCGACAAAGTGGTGTATGATCTCGAGTGTGATTAATTCATTATCACCATGATCCACACCAGCGATAAAGTATAGCGAGGCATATCGACGACAAATGAATTTTTTGCCATGTATCTCGATGACGTTTGACATCCGAAGTGACCGCCCTAACGTTGCTTGTGTGACGTCACGGAGTATGGTAGCCCTCTCTTTTCTAGAAGCCGTGATATACCACTTCGCCAGCCTGAGTCTGCCCTGGCGATTCATCAGGAAAAGGTATTTGATCATCCTTTTAATATCTGCAGAATTTTATAAACGTGAAGCTAACTGTCTGTTTTGTCATCACACGCAATATATATATATATATAATTAAATTACAAAATAGTGAGAGATAATAAGTGATAAGACAATGAGTGTTGAGACTGAAAAAGTCGTGAACGAATTTCGATACACATACAAGCAAAATATGGGGAAAAGGTCTGGTTATATGCGTAATGGAAATTATAAATCGTGTTTGTGAAAAATGTGAAAGTTCTAAAGCTGAGGAAAAAATACTTAATCATTTGAAACAATACGACAAGTTCCTGTATCAACAACCTCGTTCACATCATGACTACTGTTACCGAAAGCTTCGTTATAAACTAAAACCCCGTCCATGTACTGCATCATCCCCCAATTTGGTAAACTCGGAACAACTTCCGATCGCCCTGCGTAGTACGGCTGTCCAACCGCACGAGCCTTACGAGCCGCCTTCAACTGCTCATGCTTAGTCGTTTCGTTGCTTTTCTTCTTGTTCCCCGGCTTGGACGAGGCGTGCGGGTGGAAGACTTTACAGTTGCCGAAACGGTACATGGTAGCCTCGGCGAGGCCTCGTTCCTCACGAAAAACCCCTTCCACTCGGACGACATACTCAGTCAGCTTGCAATCTATGATCTCGGAAAGCAATAAGCGGGCGGTGTGAGTGGCGAGAATTGTGTAGATGTTGCTCTTCTGTGCGAACTCGGGCGCCGTAATGGCCGCAGGCGGGTCCCCGCTGTCCGGCTCGAGAGCCCAGCGTAGCGCTCCTAGAAGCGCACGACAAAAGGTCCCCTTAAAGGTATAGGGAATCACACCCTCCACGGCTTTTTCCCACGCACCGTCGTCTGCGTCGTCCTCTGCTAAGCGTGGATCGTCGTGCAGACCTGAGTCCTCCATGATGGTCGTCGGCGGCTTCGACGAAGGGCCTCGACGTGCCTGAAGCAGCTCTGCGGGCACCAGTGTATCCATTCGACACAAATCAAACACCGTTTCGAAGTTGTAGCTCGCGGAGATCATTTGTGTCAGGGCAGAAACCTCCTTCGCATTGGAAAGGGGGAAGACCTGTGCTAGAGGGGAGAAGAGCTCCTTGAACAGCACCAGTGAGCCAATGAAGCTGACCTGGTTGAGATTGTTCGTATCGAGTTGGATAACACCACAAAATAGCAGGTACTGCAAACAGGCCAGGAGCTCGTGCCGTCGAGCCTTGGTTCCCTGATCGTATGCTCTATTGGCGCAATCTAACGCCGAGGAGGAGGAAGGTAAACAGTTAAATTCCGTCTCCCTCAGTGTATCGTGTACTTCACTAGGGCGTTTAACATGACAGAATACGTCATCGACATCTGCCCAAACACTAGATGGGTCCCACCGTCGTTCGTAATGGATCAGGGCATCATAGAACATCTCCAGACAAATGTGATCACGTTTACCAATATGCTCATTCCATATGTTCAGGGGTTCTACACAAAGCGAGCACCAATTTGGTATCTCATCCCAAACACGTTGCCCTGAAAAAGGATGCTGAGTGCTTGCGCTTTCCTCGTTGCTGTTGATAGCAGAAGTCTGGGTCTGAACATTATCCTTACGGTGCTCTCTTTTTTGTTGTTGAGTATTTAGTGCTGAGGAAGCAATGGGACTTGATGGCTCCACTATTTTAGCGGGCGTAGAGAGAACATTCGCTCGGGCTTTTTTTCCACTTGTGGGTATCAGGATCTTTTGTTGAAACGCGGGGTCGGTGGTATAAGAAGATGTGTGGAGCACTCTACGCGCGTGTTTTCTAATCGTAAAAGCACTGCAAGGTACTGTTGTACGCCATAAAATATGTGAACGTATACAGGAAAAGAACATTAATTGTTATAGTGAGCTTTACGATATAAGTAATGATGAAAAGCACTGGCTAACATCGCACGTGCTAGAAAAGAAAGCAACAATAGGAAATTTTGAAAACAATAGACTAAAAACGAATTTAAGAATTCCACTTCAGAAAACTCATTTTCACACATTCCCCACTAATACATTCAGAACTATCTTCATACGCATCGATGAAAACCCATATTTCATCGCAACACTTGTTAAGAGGCAGTTTTAGGGGTGGTTCATTGTAATAAGGGTTGAAACCCAAAGTTAACCCCATAAAAGAAAGCCCATGTGCCAGTTTCACAAGTTAAAGACAGCGTTTAGAATACATATTATAAGCGAAAAAACGTAGCCTCTGCGGAGGCCTCGCCTGAAAAGCCGCTAAAGGTCGTGGGATGTGTTTCTGCCTGCAAGTAAACAATTGTGGTTCATGCGACTCCTTACCGTTTGTGGTAAATAATTTTTCTTCTGACGATGGATGAGTAATCGCATTAGTGTATTCACAAGGCCCGAAGTCAAAAAACGCAGGGGTATCTGCGCCGTCGATTGCGCATCCTAAAGCACACTAAGGAATTTACGTGTAATCTCCCTTTTCCTTCCCAGGGCTGAATAAGGTATCCACAAGCACCGCCACTGCTGGCTTCAGATTGGCCACAGTAGCATGGATCTTCTTAAAGCAGTTTTGTGTGTTGCATGCATTGTGAACAGGAGAACCCTCTAAAGGGGTGGGGAATGGTGGGAGACCTTCGCGGCAGCTCTTTTCCATTGCGACCTCACCGAGCGTGGTGATCGCTTTTGGACCAATCGATAGCTTCAAGAAGTCAATATCCACTAGAGGTATATTTGAATGTGGAGCTATACAATCCTAGATCGTTTACCTGCAGGGACTTTGAGCTAATGCCGTCCCGGGTTCCAAAGTAGTAGAGACAAGATTCTGGATCTTGGGTGAGAGCATCGACTGCTCCTTAAAAAGGCCTAACATGGTGGGTTTGATATTGAACTTTAATCTATTACTAATTTCACTGGATTGATAAATATTCGTGTGCGTGCAACATTTGAGTGAAACTTCGGATATATAACTGCCATCCATGTTTATACCCTGAGGGATGGCGAGGCCTCTGCCGTTTGTAAACTTCATGTTGTTGTACTACTTGAAACGATATAAATGCGGTTGCCTTTATTGAAATTTAAGGAGGGATCACGCAATATTTGAACAACTTTTGAAAGATCGCATTTGTAATTAACAATGAAACTATCTTATAGAGGGTGGATATTAAGCAGCATCAGTTTTTCTCCAAATATATTATTAGGTGAATAGTCAATAAGGGGAAGGAGAGGTAAAAGTGATTAAATAGCCATTAGTGACCCGATCGATTTTTATTTACTGCTGAAAATGGATGGAATAATACATCGATATCGATATATCTGACTAAGATAATAACGAATTACGATATAATTAGCAATCTTGTGGACTTGTTACTGTAATTATTCGAGGAATGAGAAATTAAAATTAACCCTGATACGCAAGGCAAATGTTGCCCTCGCCATTAAACACAATTTTCCCCTGCCCGATCGCTGTATTCAATGCATGTCGTACCGATTTTGCGATGCGCCTT